AGGATGAAGCAGTTTTACTTTGAATCTAAATTGTGTTAGGTTCCCTCGCTGCACAAACAATACAGCATTCAAAGTTAAATAGCTACATCTAACCTTTATTATGCCATGCAATATATTTTACAGTTCCTCTCTGTGAGTATTCCTCTCTGCATCCCCAAAAGACAAGGCACAAATGATCAGAAAAGGTAGTCCAATTTTTCCAAAACCAAGCCCTCCAAGGCAAAAGATCAAATATCCTTTGCAGCTGTGTTTGGTTGGCAAATAGATTTTTTCCCCCATTTGGTTCCTTAGTTAGTCCAAAGCCAAACTCTGAGCTTCTGATGTTCAGAATCTGCCCCTTTCCTCGATTTATATCCCATTGCATGAAGTTGAAGCCCTGAACCCCTCTTTGAGTCAGGCAGTAGTGCCTAAAGGTCTGCAGCTCCTCAGTGAAACTCACCTTGGGGTTATCTCTAAGACTAGAGTGGATTCGCTCAGATGAATCTGCTGACTGCAGTGAACCCCTCAGAGACTCTCGCTTGCTTATATACCTTCACTCTCCCGAAATATGATGCATAGGCTATGTAATAGACACTGTGTGCAAAGCAGTCAAAGCAGTCTGTCGAAAAATGTGTCCAGTAGACAGAGCTGTTCTATTTATATGCACATAAATGAAGATGCTTAAATGGTAGGCTAAGTGTAGGCCTATGCAAAAGTGCTTGATATTGCATAGGGCTAATAATATACGCTGCTGATTTGGGTGAAACCTACTCTGTGGCCATGTAGTTTTGATCTGTTAAACTGTGCAGAGCTCCATGGAGAGAAGAATGAGGTAAACTTTTGCTGTAGATTATTAGGCTGGTTTCTATAGTGTAAGTTATTACAGCTACTTATTCTGGAATCATACAGGTTTGTTTATTAATGCTGTTGATGCTGTTGTTATGAACCGAAGACTGTGTTTCCAAGACTTTTCTCATGAGTGATGTAAAGGTTTTTATTATGCCAGACCCAAACTTTCTAATATGATTTTTACATTTTATATTTATTGCGATGGTTGTAATTTAAATGTCAGTTTACATTGGCATCCTAATAAACCTGACTGCTTTAATAAAACAAAACAAAACAAAACAACAAACATTGTAATTGTAATTGTTTCTGATTATAGCACAAGCCACCCTGTACCTTTACACCATAATCACCTATGGTGATTAATTACCCTACACGTGCCCTCTGAACGCTACAGTTTTGGTGAAAACGAGCCTGTGTGCAATTGGCATGCGTGAAATGTCTGCAATGGCTTTGCTGGCATTCCAGTGTCAGAAAAGTCTAGTTGTTGTGATTGATTGTTGCCAGCTGTACATTTTTTAAAGACTTCTTTCTTTGTTATCTTCTTATCTTTTGATTTTAACACAGATTGTAACAGGTGTTCGTCCAATAACTAACATTCCTCTGTTCTTGCATTTGGCTCAGTGTATTGGCAGCATCCGTGGACTGTTTGAATTTTGACCAACTTGGATATTACAAACAAGTATATGTAATTCTCATGTTGCTCATAAACAAAATAAAGTATAGGCCTATAGCTACATTTCTATGGGGGTTTTCTTATTATTTTAAAGAATAACTAGCATTCATGGCTTCTTGTGTTTTTAACATTTCTGCATATTTTGGCTTAAATGTTGCAAATATGTACCACAGATTCATTTTTCACCTCATTTCTTTCCCGTAAGTGGATCAATTTAGATGTCTCTCTCTCAATGCATTAATGCATTTTGGTGTAAAATGGAAATAGCAATGAATAGAAATGGCAATATGATCATGAGAAACAAGATAATAAAGGTTTAAGATCACACTATGAGCTCCAGTGCCAAAGAGGAGTAGGGTTTGATTGGAGATTGATTGAAATGCTCTCATTTAAAAGTACATCGTCATCATGCAGCCGAGGACTGCTGGCCAGCTTTTATTTTTGGTCCTCTTACACCCATTCAGACCATTTCTCCTTATGGTGATGAAACTATTTGTGCTGCTATTTCAGGAAATATCGAAAACTGATATCATCAACATCGTCGCCATTATCGTAGTCATCTTAACACTTCCGTTGGGTAATGACACAGAGTTGTCACATTGCACCGAACAATGGAATGAAATGAGGAGCTACTCCATATTTGCTCTCTCGGTTACAGACTGTTATGTGCCTATTGTACATCAGGTGGCAGTGTTGACATGATCCTGTGACTAATATGATAATAGAGTTAATATTGAAATATAAGCTCAATTAAATTGTTGGTATAAAACCTTTACTCATGACATAAATTCTATTGCATAATTATATATGCATACTTGAACCACAGCTTCAGTTCTGCATCTCTTAATCTCTTCATAAATCCTAAATATGTTGTATAATTAGACACTTCCTTTATTTCTGTGTGTGATGTCTCAGCATCCACAAAGGGTACTTATAGTACATATATATATTTGTTTTGCTCCACTGCTTCTTCACTTCCAATCTTCTGAAAAGCTCTGTAAAACTGATCTTTGGCCTTTAACATTTGCTGTGGTCAAATGAGGTCTCTCACCTCAAACGACTCGGCCATAGATACTGTAACTATTCCTGCCCTTCTTCAATATCAGGTATAAAATTACAAATATCTCACAGCAGGGATGAAACCCATGAAGCGAGGCTTTTACCGTCTGTAATTTGAGACGGTGAAGGACGATCCCCCATCATATTCTGAACTTTATGCTTGAAATGTACATTAATGATAAATTTGTGGGCTATTTAGAAAGCCACACCTTAATTTCCGATATTTAAGTGAGCATGTTTGACTGGTAAACACATTGAGATTTCATTAAGGTTTCATTTTAAGATATCAGCAACCGCATGAGAACCCTTTACTGTCATGCTAAGTAGCTGGAAGCTGCAGATATTCATTTTGCCCTAGTTATGGTTACAAATGAACTAGGTTTCTCAATGTTCCACCTGAGAGCAGGCGTTTGTTCCATCATGCTGCAGCAGAAATAGAAGTGACCATAGAAGTGACCTATATTCTCGGCCACTGTGGCTTGCCATCTGAGAGAAAGTTGCAAATAAATGTGCTTCATTGACAGAAGTCCTGTAAATGTGCTGGCAGAGAAACTCTATCCCCTCCCAGAGTTCCTCTGCTGGGTCACTGCAAGTACTCCTCACCTCGGACCAGCTACCGCTGAATCTCTGCCAGACACCCAGTCCTCCCATCACAGAGCTACTTCTCTGTCTGCCAGAGCTGCCTCTGGTCCAACTGTGTCCTGCCTGTACCCCCCTCAGACCAATAAGCATTTCTGGGCTCTAGTGGTTTTAAGACCAGGGTGCCAAAAAGCTGCACAGTGACTGGTATTGATCCAGTAAATCCTGTCCTGATGCGATTTGCTGACAACAAGATTAACGTAAACTGTTTCCCTGGAAGTGTAATACAAAACATCTTCAAAAGGAAGTTGGTGGTATTTTGTCCCTATATGAACTCACTGCAAGTGCAATTTCAAGGTACTTACTTGATTTCAGTATGCCACATTACGCCACTCCACCACAGTTTGAAGGAAATGTTATACTTACATATATACATTGCTACATTTATTTAATAGCTGTAAATAAAAGTATAAAGAAGCAGTTAAAATAACTTCCATCTGAGCCAACTACATCAACATAGGTTAGTGCTTCAGTAAAAAAGACTCAATAACATAATAATATAACAATGACAAAAACTATTTTGCAATACTTCTGTACTTTAACATTTTGAAAGTAGGACTTTTAATTGTAATGCAGTATTTTACACTGCTGTATTGCTACTAAAAGATCCCCTCTAGACATGTATTCAGAAGTAAAACATATTTATGGGTGTGTATGGGGAACTTTAAGTAGATCACATGAGTATTACAATGAATGTCTTTTGAATGACATATATAAAAAAGTAATTATCACAGTTTCCATCCATATCCATTGAATATAAGCTATGCTTTTTTTAAAGGTATAGTTCTGGAAACACATGTGACCAGTGGTGGAAAGAAACTACATTTAAGTACTGCGTTTAAGTACAGTTTTGAGGTATTTTGAATATTTCTGCTGTTGCTACTTTATACTTCCACTCCACTACAGTTCAGAGGCAAATACATTTATTTTAAGTCTTTAGTTACAAGTTATGATGTATTATTATAGATTAGCATAAGAGGGAAGAAATTCACAAACTACTACAACTAATCAAAAGTATCTCCACCTTTACCAACATTAAAGCGAGGTTTTATTACATGAATGTATGAATCATTGTAATTCACTTCTAATTCATTATTCTGAAATAGGTCATGCTGAATAACTTTTACTTCAGCAGCATTTTAAATGCAGGACTTTTAAGTAAGTTTGTGAATGTTGTCCACAGACTGAGACTGAAGATCCACTCTGGCAAAGGCACAGTCAGATGCAGTCTTTGAGTGAAACACAAGAGGGACATAGTGACATACTGCATATTCAGCTGAAGCTTTATGCTGCCCATTAGCTGTGTGCAAACTGCAGATTGAATGTCATGCATTTTTTTGGAAAGGTGACTGCGAGGTAAGAGCGAGAGGGTAAGAGAATGAATTAATTAAATTGAATTAAACAGCTAACATGATTAGCTTGTTTAACATTGTATTAAGCCACCATGAGCAAAGTCTAAGTTTATTTGATTTTATGGTTGTGAAAATATTAAAATAATCTTTCAACTGACCATTTCAAAGAAAATGGGTTAAATGTTCTGTACATGTTGTCAAGTGTAAACATATAATTTACACCGAATTACCCCATCTAAGGTGTCAAACTGAGTGTGCCAGAATGTCAAACACTTCATTTGCACAGTGGAAAGTTGCTCATGTTGTTAATTGAAGAAACCAAAGCCTCTTGCACAGGCTGGACCTCTCCCAGTGCTCGCTATAACATCATAACATAAGGCACATGAGAGAATTCTGCTCATCTGTTGACAAGTCTTTCTGGACATAAGCTGGAAAAAACTACGACCATCTCATGGAGAAAAGAATTTATTTTTTTACACTTTTCTGGCAAGGAAAGACACATAGGACAGAGAATGGATTTAACTTGTGCTTATCTTTAATTACATTATTACTGTACATGACTTTCCATTAAATCTACAACATATCTTGTTAATTTTAACATTTACGAATCCATGTTATTTACTGCAGCTAGTAAACATTATAAAAAGAGGTCCACCCTGAGATTACTACCACCACGTAGGGATCACACATGATTTATGAAGATTTGACCAGTGCAGAAAACTCTGAAAAAAAAAACAGAAAGAGAGATTTGTAAATATTTTTTATTCTGCTCTTTCACATTCATCTGCTTATAATTATTATTATTATTATTATTAATAATAATAATAATAATTCATTCCTGATACGTTATTAACGTACAATCACAACCTGGCATACTGAAGTGCGTAGCTCTGGCAGTGACACTTTGTATGAGATGGCTGCACTTCTGCTGCCTAGCAACCCAGTGAAACACAACCATGGGGTGGATTAGTGTTGACTTTATGGCCATTGGTTCACTATTAACTGCCATATTTACACTAAAGGACAACTCTAATTACTCAACTTGAGGATGTATCACAGTTTTTACTATTTTGCTGAAGTCTGGTCCTTTGTGCTGTATTTTCAAACTGCTAAAAGTGAAATTTTGGGCTTCAGTGCAAGATAAAAGTAAAAATTCTTTACTGACAACTTTAAGATTTAAATAATAAATAAATCTAATAAATAGATTATAATATGTATATATGTAGATGTAGGGGAAATGCTTGAATCTGATTAGCTATTTCGACTCTCTCGAAAAAAATCATGTGATCACTTTAGAGGTACTCCAATGTACTCCCACACTACTGTAAGTAGTAGGCAGTTTGATAATTGTGTCTTATTCTTTTCTACTTCACATTCAACAAACAGCTTTTTTATTCTAAAGTTTCTATTTTAGAACATCCTTAAGTGTAATTCATCTAAGTTTGATAAAAATGGGCCCTGATCTCAATCACCTTTCAATTTGAAAAAATATGTAAAGCTAAATATAAATATATAATATAAATATATAGACCCCTGATCAGCATCTACAGACCAATTGCCCCTCAGACTAGCTTACCTTCCCAGCCGATCTTCCCATCTCCATCTGAGTCTCCCTCCAGCAGGAAAGCTCTGGTCTCAGCTGCAGTCAGAAGCCTTGCTCCTTTGGAGAAGTTCTGCAGGAACAGTCTGATGAAGAGCAGGCATGAAACACCACATTGAGAAAGAAGAACACACACAAACAACAAACAGGGAACTGAATGGATAAACACAAACATAATAATGTAAAAGTATATATATTAATTTATAGGACATGTGTCGTGTATACAACTCAACTGTAACTCATCCTGTTCTATGAAGCCGCTTTTGTCCTGGTCCAAAATCTTAAAGACCCTCTCTATGTCTGTTGGGGTTTTCTTGGATAAACCCACTGTTTTGAAAAACATCTTTGAGCTGAAAGAATCCTTTGCTGAAAGCAAAATCACAGATAAAACATGATTAGATCCAGTCGGGGAAAATGATAATATCCTATACTTGAGGTTTCATGCAACTACAGTGAATTGCAAAAAAATAAAGGCTTTACATCCTGTGACAAGAGCAATTTTCAGTGTAATCACAAACTCAAAACACAACCACCTTCATTCCTCACCTTTACAAGCATTGATAGCTGAAGTGATGTCTGAGGCAGCGAGAAAGTCGGTAATAGCCATGGTGGTGGAGGTTGTTGTGGTTGATGTTGCAGCCTGGAGCAATATGTGACCACTGATGGGCAGAAAGAAACTACTGGTGACAGTGAATAGGCTTCACCCTCCTGGTGTCAGAAACCACCAGTGTCCTTCTGTCTGCTGTCACCTGCAGCTGACCACTTCAGCAAACTCTGTGTGAAAGAGAGGCTGAAAGATAAAGAATCTTGTCATTGCAGAAACCGTATTTTCCAGAGCGGCTTCTCCGGGGGTCAGAGGTCACAGAGCCTTTAAAACTACCTAACTAAATCTCAATCAGGTAGCATCTGTCTGTAAACAAAACAGTCTGTGAGGCTATATTTGGTGCATCTGGAGGGAACCTGGCTGGCCTGCATTTCCTCTTCGCTCGTGTTTCCAGCCACAGTTGCTGCCTGCGCGTGGTCGTCCCTGGCAGTGTTTCCGCAGGCTGTAAACATCCTGTTATTATGGCCTCCCTTTCAGGCTGCGCTCCATGGAGCTGTCTCCACTCACAGTCGCCTTGTTCCAACTTGCTACATTTAACATATGAAGAGCTCTGTTCTCAAATGAGTGTAAAAAATGCCTAACATGCTATAGGAGTATGATGGCGATATGTCACACGCTGCCAGTATATGTACGTTAAAAACGATGTGCATAATACATTTAATGCATGCATCAGCTATATGTACAGTTATCACTAAGTCTCAGTGTAAAGCCCTTTCTAAATTCTTAAAGGGGCAATTCCATTTTTTTGGAGTGGGCTTTTATGAGGTACTTATCCATAGTAAATGTATTTCCTACAGTTGATGGCGGTCAGAATGCCCCTAGTTTGGAGAAGCTGACAAGAGTACTGGTATAGCTACAGAAACTAAGCAATGTACTGCTGTGGACTGGGTTAGCAACAACACATAGTTTAGTTACCTAACAAGGCCTACCTAAATAAATCAACATCAGTGAAGAGTACACTATATTTAGAACTTATTCATCGCTTTATGTTGCCGTCATACAGCCCTATCTGAAGTGAAACTGAAGCCGTTATATCACTCTCTCCAAAGCCACCTTGACAAAAACAGTAATTTGAGCCTGCACAGAGTTGCTCATCTGCCACTGCCTCGATCCACAGCAACTGTTAGTTCTGATCCAAACTAATGTAATAAAACACCAAAGTCACACAACACAAACTAACTGATTAAGGCAGTGGTAGACCAGCAGTTCCTGTGTTCTGCAAGGTCAAATTAGCAGGCTATAAACACCGATCAGCCATAACATTGTGAGCACTGACAGGTGGAGTGAATAACACTGATTATCTGGTTAGCATGGCACCTGTCAGTGGGTGGGATATATTAGGCAGCAAGTGAACATTTTGTCCTCAATGTTGATGTGTTAGAAACAGGAAAAATGGGCAGCGTGAGGATTTGAGTGACTTTGACAAGGGCCACATAGTGATGGCTGGACGACTGGGTCAGAGCATCTCCAAACCTGCAGCTCTTGTGGGGTTTTCCCGGTCTGCAGTGATCAGTACCTATCAAAAGTGGTCCAAGGAAGGAAAAGCGGTGAACCGGAGGCAGGGTCATGAACAGTTCTGATAGAAAGGTGTCGGAACACACAGTGCATCAGAGTTTGTTGGTTTGGGGTTGCATAACATTATGACCACCTGGGCACCCTGGTGGTCATAATGTTATGCTGATGTGTGCATTACAGTATATCTAACAATACCTAACCTTAAACAAGAAGTTTTTTTGTGCCTAAACCTAATCAAACTAAGCAGTTTAAATGTTATAAATATCAGTAGGTGGACTCTCCAAATAAAATGGAACTGAAAATAACATTGTTCAAAATGTACATGTGAATTAGTGATCAAATGGTTCCCTGCTACAGGGTTTTAATTAACCAGTTGAAGCGTCAAAACCAGATATCAAAACTAATGTCTTCATATAAATGTGAAACTTTTTTCAGTTTTTGATTCACAGTGTCTCTTTGAATCTGCAAACTAAAGACAGCATCTACTAGTGGCAAAACTACATTGATGTGCTATAAATCATTTGATGGGAATCTCTGGAAAACCACCTGCTGAGGAATTCCCACACATGCAGGTGGCTTGAAAGTGTGCAACTATTACAGACAGGAAATAGTCTGGTTAGCTGGCAAAGTTATAGACTTTTGTTCTGCAAAACACAAACCCTCATCACAATATCTCTCTACACCACATTTGACCCCTTTTGTGTAACTGGAATGCACTCCATGTGATTTTGTCTCAACTCTTCCTGCCTGCTGCCATTAAAGTTGGAAAAGCAGTGTTTTTTTCACCGTTTCAATCCACATATGTCTTTATTGCTCCCATGTGTGAGGGGCTGCTGGAGCGCTGTAGTAACTGCGTCATACCCACCCTAACAGACAGCACGTGTGGGCCCAAGGCCTGGCCAGAGTGACGCGAACTTGGTTTCCTCAGGATGGACGACAGTGAGGCCTGCAGCAACCAGAGGGGCAGTGGAACGACAAAAACATCCTCTGCTCCCCCTCACGTACCTGCCCCCCTCAGCCTTGTCCCTTTCCACGCTCCGATGCTTGTTTTCAGGAAGACCAGGCTTCCTGCGTGATGGAGCGGTGGATGAGAGGAGGAAGAGGGGGATGGGACAGAGAGGAAAAGACAGACACAGAGAGAGATGGATAGGGATGAGGTGACGGTCCTGTGCACGTAGTGATTTGGGGGAGTTTTTTGCGTTGGTTGCTTCCCTGACAGCTACAGGCAGCTGTGAGGGAGTCTGAGAAAAGGAAAGATTACAGTACAAATCTTCTGCGTAGATGAAAAACTTGAAACAACTGAGAAGTCTTGTGTCAGGAAGGCAGGCAGGGAGTGGGCTAATGTGTTACTGAACTTAATGTGAGCATTTTGTAAGCCTGTATAGAAATCAAGTTGGAACTTGGACCTGGAGTTTTGTTCTTTCACATGTACAAACCTTCCTGTTCTTCTGTTTGTGTTGGGAAATACTGAGCAATGGGACAATCAGCACAGAACACGGACACCAGCAGAGGTGAGTATTGCACAAACAGATGGTAGGTTGCATTTGACACAAATCAAAGAACCAGACAGCCTTTCATATTGTTTCATCTATTATTCTATTATTATTCTATTCATCTTTTATCTCGAGTCAATCAGTGTGTTGCTCAAGGACACTGACAGGATGTATCATGGATGCATTCACACATACTGGTTTTTGTGGGGATTCATTGTCAGATTTGTCTTGGAGGGCGGGTTTTTCCCCTGTAGCATCACATCATCATTATTAATAAATAATAATATATTATGAGTATAACTATAGAGATTGCTGGGTTTTATCATTTAGGTAAAATCCAAAACAGAACTGCAAAGTTCTTCAAACAGCAGCACAAGATATTCACTGGTGAATAGTTGATTGCGGTGTTTGTTTCTCACTTTCTATCTGTCAGTACCTTTGCCTTTTTGTTCATCCTCCTGCGACTTTTTCAGATTATGTTGCATCATTATTGCTTTTGGCCTTAGACAGATTTAAGAATAGGTAGATAAGAGGCATTGTGAAGAAATTTGTCCATCTCAGGTTAAAACTGCCATAGAAGTGCTCTTCATTATTGAACCATTTTTCGTGAGTAGTTCTAAACTGATGTCATTCTGAATGTTGCTCTAGATAACTTTTGTGTTATTTTTTGTTAGCCAGGCCTTTGTTTCCACCCCATAGAAACATTTCTTTAGAACAGTTTTTTATCGTAAATTCAGCTGGCGTTGATTGAATGATAATTTACATTTGACTGCTACTTATGCATATAGATAAGTAGTCTGTCACCTCTGTTATTTGCTGCTGTTGTTATATATCCAGGTTTAGTGCCCTGTTTATAACATTCATATAACATACATATGTTCATGGGTAAACTCCTATCCTGCCTCTTCCTTGATGTTCCCATTGACCTTTAACCTTCTCCGTGTGGAAAGAATAAATATAAAAGACTAAGAACGTGTCAGATTTCAAAAAGTCAGTGTTTGCTGTGCTGTAGAAACAATTTATCTTGGAAGCCATTTTAATTCAGATGGACGATAATGTCATCAGGCTAGGACTTAATGTCCAGCTAAACTAAACCCGTTAGTCCCTGTGTAATGTCTGAAACGTTTGGCTTCTCAAACAGAGAGACAGAGAAGAGGCGAGGCACCCTGTCCATCCATGCATGCATCACTGAGGAAAGTGGTCACTCCTCCGTTTTTCCTGGGCTCAGTTACTGCCTCGTCTATTTTCATCTGACCAGCTGCAGCGTGGGCATGCCTGTGACGCTCTCAAATTCAGCCAAGATACCCCTTACAACAACCACTATAAGCTCCCCCCTCTCCCCCCTCAGCCCCTACCACCACCCTTCACTCCTGCTAACAGTTTTATCTCACTCCTCTGTTTTGGCACCAATCTTTCAATCTGTGTGGCTGTCTGTGGCATTCAGTGTGTCCTGTGTCTGTGTCTCTCTGCTCTGTTTTGACATGAATCACTCAAGATCTCAAGATTGGATGTGTGTGAGACAAGCATTTTTTTTGTGTCAGTGCATATGTGGGCCCATGTGTGTATCCACAGTGTGCGTTTTGTTCCTTTTTAGTTCACTGAAATAATAAGGGAAAATAATAATTACAAAACACTGCTGATATTCCTGCAATAACACACACACACACACACACACACACACACACACACACACACACACACACACACACACACACACACACACACACACACACTGTCAGAATTAGATGGTTCCCCTCTCACATAAACTCTAGATTGACACTGTAGCGTCAGTCTCACGTTTTGTACTTGTATTTTCATATTTCTCTGTGCTCAAGTGTTGGCTTGTGGCAAAATCTGCCTAAATATGACCACAGTAAAACCAAACTTTACCACAAAATGAAAATGTAGTCATGGGTGTAAAAAATACAGATGGCAATTCAAAGTGGTCTTGCCCCCTGAAGACCTTGACTTCATATATAAATATTACTCAAGTACTACAAAAAATATTATAACTCTTCTTCTTCTAAGAATGTGGCATCTAGACTTAACCATTTCAATATAATTCAACATACCAACCACCATCGCCAACTCAGATTTGATCTAAAAGTGTTCACTTTCTCAGTGTTCAGGTAAAAGAGGTCCAGTGAAGAATTTACGAAGATTAGATGATTAAAACCAATATCATGTCTGTATGCTGGCTAAATGTGAAGGTACAGTGTGTGAAGCACAAAATAAACAATTTCTTGGCCAGGACCAGTTATCAGACAACCAGGCGAGATTCCAGGAAGTATACAATACAGTCTGGTACATAACACCCCCCTGTTTCCAGTGTTTATACTAAGCTATGTTAGCTGGCTGGTAGCTTCATATTTAGCGTACAGACATTAGAGTGCTATCAGTCTTGTGATTGACATAATTTCCCTATCATAGCTTGTATGTTGCAGCTTTGGTGGAAGCCAGCAATAATCTAGTGTTGTCCTGATCCATTGCAGGCTGGAGGGAAGTTGATACCCCCTCAGCCTGGTGGACAACCAACAAAGATGAAATGACTGTTAAATTCTCTATTTCTTATCCGTTTGAGCCGTAACTAAGGGACAATCCTGACTCATTACATTTTCGACTTGAATGTGGTTGCTGCTGTGCAACTGGATCAGGCCCTGACGAATACCAGTCAGCTTAAGATGCAAGTGATAGGATCTGTGCTGGGTTAAGACAGGGTAGATGGGTTTGGGAGCAGGGGGAGGGGGGTTTAGGGACTCCCTCGGGCGTCTCTGAGGAGGGGAGGGTGGTGGGGTTGTTGCAAAGATAGAGGTGATAGAACCTGCGTTTCCACCCACAGTACCTAGAACCTTTAGTCTCAGAACTACTTTTCAAGGAAGTAGAGGGAAGCTTGATCTAGATTTATAGGCGTGCTGTACAAATGGGTGCAAGGGACATAGGACGATATATATATAAGACATTCCCAAAAATACATTCCGTCCAATAGCCTCTTTCTCTTTGTCAGTCCATATGACAGTTATTGGGATCTATAAGCCAACACAGGTCTCCATATCAAAGTGAGGGATTGAAAGCATAGTGTCCTGTTTCCTGTTCCTATAGTGTGAGGTACTGTGATATACCCACGGCCAGCGCCTTATTCCCAAATAAAGATCTTTATGTATATTCCAATGTCACAGGCCCCTGTAAACCTCATCACATTTAAGATTAGCTGCTGAAACAGATCTGCCCTTATCTGATCAGCGTTGTGTGTGTGTGTGTGTGTGTGTGTGTGTGTGTGTGTGTGTAAATGAGAGCTCTGTCAACGAGCGCTCAAACTCAGCTCCTCCATAAACACTTTAAGCCAGTCTAGGAGTCCCACAGCTGTCTCAGCCTGTGTGCGCCTATGTGAGTGTGATCATACAGGTCAGAGGTCAAGGTCCCTGCTTTTCAACACTTTCCCCACCATTTGCCAGCAGCCCTGACATTTCAAGTCAAATTCCTCCTCACTTGTATGCGTGTGTGTGTGTGTGTGTGTGTGTGTGTCAACTGTGCGTTACCTTTATGTTAATGTTGAAATATAATTTCGCTCCAATTAGCTGCTCCCCTAGCTGTGGTTTGATTACAGGACGGGGTGAGGTAAGTGTTTACGTACGTACACAGTCATTGCTCAACCTACTAAATAGCACAAGTGCAGAAACAGAAATTGGCCCACATACAGTGACAGACAGGCACAGGCCTTTCACCACTGGCTTTAGGATCAGACTGATATAATGCATTAAAAGCATTGACAGTATATATAAAAGCTGCTGTCTTTCTTGCTCTGTGCTGCTTGTTCACAACTGACGCAGAGAACTATAATGTAATAAAATGCAATTTTATCTTTAATCAGGCTTTTTTTTTAAACATGGCTATTGCTCTGACTTTATACTTTTCCTAACAAGGTCCACAGTTTGTGTGAAGTCCTCAACCATAGTCACCCCACCACAGCTAACTGCTACACTCTACTGTAGTCTAGTGGTGGAAGACTGCAATAACATATGCTGCACATAAGCTCTTAGTTGTTATGGCTTTTTTTTGTCTCCAGTTGTAATAATCTATATATGCAGACATGGCGAAAAATACAAACTTGTCCTATAAATGCGACAATATTTAGCCGCAGCTTACCTTTCCATCAAGTGTAGGTCTTGAACATGGTGCAAACACTTATTTTGAAATTTGTTTTCTAAGACACAATCAAAAACTTAATCAACATAGTGTATATACTGTATATATAAATAAATATACTGTATGAACATGCTATAGCAATTGAATCTGCATGTATACATATATTTTACATTAATGTGTAATGGGCCTGAACAAAATGCTACTGTCGTTTGCATTTTGTGAAACTTCAGAACTTGTATTTAGTGAATTAATCAATTAAAATCCATGCAAATAAGAGATTTGAAGGGCGCACATTCTCAGTTGCTACTCTGGTTTTTACTTTGTGATTTTCATTGTTTATTAATGATTGCAGTGTACTGGAGGCAGTGACATTTCTTCTGACACTACATAAAAAACACATTTTGCCTCCAGCAGTCTGGTCAGTGAGTTCCACAGGGGCACACCTTTATATGTCAGCACCTTAATGTTTGTCTTTCAGCAGGGTTTTATTCTTCCAGGTCAGACACACTTTATGTAAACAAGATATTTATTCCAAACTGTCATGAAATGGATTCTATATGGTGAATGATGGAGTAATAAATGACCCTGAGTAATCCATGTACTTATAGCACCAGGATATAAGTAAAGATAGACTTACTCCCCATACATTCCCCCACCCTTCTCACACAGCTCTCTCTCTCTCCTCCTGTCTCTGTCTCTCTTCACCATTTCAAACAAACACACTCTCCCTATCTTCACTCTCACTCACACTTCTCCCAAATACGGCAGTGCCCTTGGCAGCGGTGGTGCTAGTTCAGACGGGCACTGTTCCCAGGTCTGGACTGGGAAGGAGCAGGTGTACTGCTGTCAACAGAGGCTCATAAATACTCAGCCAGCGATCTGAGATGGATTACACATTTATGTCATCATATTAAAGATACTCTGTCAGCAAAACACCTTTAAGACCCTGTAATCTCCCGCCTAAGAGAAAAGTATTTTCTCCCTACAAAGAGGAGTTCATGGCACGGCTCACCGCTGCACAGAAAAAGCTAGTGCTGATCTGCAACAAATTAGTCATTCAATTCACAAGCGGATGCATATCTGCATCCTGCTTTTATTATTTAAAATGAACAGGCTGCAGGAAAGTTCCCTGGCTAACTCTACATTCCGAGGACATGACAGTTTTATTACCCTTGAGGCCACACACCGTGAACAAATATGTACACAACAGTGACATATTTACTACTCTATGTGTATGTTTTTATTTCAGTGTCACATTTCATCCCTTTTCAACCCTTCTCTGGTGCAGACATGAGACCCCGCTGTGTCCAAATAAAGGCTACAAGCAGCACTACCAGCGTCCTCATCTATATTACCCATAGAGCTTTGCAGTGCCATTCCATTAGTGTCGGACAGTGACTTTAGAGACTGGAGCTCCTTCTCAGGCCTTGAGCATGGTGTATTCTGCATGCTCAGAATAAGCCCAATGATCTCCAATTACCCTCCTCTCACGGATTGTTTGGTGTCACTCGCCGTCTGCTGGTTGGATGTGATGATTCTGCGCCTGCAGTGTAAAAGGATAGTTCTACAGTTCTTTTGGCATGCACTGTGCACGTTACAACTCAATCAGAGCAGTTAGACATAGCGCGACCAAACCAGTTAATTAAAAAAATTCAAACTGTGTCACTCGGTGCTTGGGCTTGTTCTCACCCCAGACAAATTCTTTATTTTAGTTCATAGTTTATGCCCCTGAGGTCAGGTTTCCCCGCATGCTGCGGGGGATTGTGGGCTTGAGCCAGATGAGAGAGTTGGCTTGGGTTGTAAAACAAATGGACCAGCTTGATGGCTTTCAGCCCATCTCTGGTCAAAGGAGCAGAGTAGATCAGTGGATAAATGATATTCACTGCTTTATCCGGCTTAAATAAACTACAGCATATAATAAAATTAGGCTTCCTCAGCTTCTACCGGGCCACTCAGAAGGCCTGAAACCAAATATGTATCACTCTTTCATCTGGACATTTGGATGCAGAAGTTGTCGTGATATCGGATTATGAGCAACTTAGACCACGCACATCAATCATTACTGCAATGTGAAAATAGAAAGTGGAACAGACCGGAACAAGCTCACATTTTGCGCCAATGAGACGGCTTTCTGCTCAGCGACTGTATCACATCCTCATATGTACTGCTAAGTCCAGTGAAAAAAGAGTTGACTTTATTGAAACACTGTACTGTAAGCAGTCCGAGTGCCCTGGCTGACCTGATATGGATCTGTGAGTGCAGGTTGCTGGGTGACACGATGCCTCGCTGGACGACAAGGATGATGTGGGAGGAAGGGAGCAAAAAGCAAAATGAGGAGAGAAATGCAATCACCTTCTTCATTCTGAATGGAAACACCATCTGTCCATCTCTATGTCTCATTTGCTTCAGTACCCTTCTTTTCTTATTTATTTCCCCTCTCTTGGGCACCAGAGGTGGACTGAATGGTGACAGTGTTGCCTCCTGGGAACAACATCCTGATGCTGTCTGGGTGTGTAAAGCAGAACTCCAGCATCAGTGATTTTGTTGCCAGGGGAAGGACTACAGCAGCGAGAGAACTTCCTGATAAATGTGGGAGCTCCGAAGTTACATGATAATAGTAGTGATTATAAATAATATTACAGTGGAAGCATAGTTTAATGTGTACACAGAGAGCCAAGTATTCCATTATTATATTATTATTTTATAGTTTATACTTTGCAGTGTATACCTCTTAGCTAAATGTATACAACATTCATTGCCTGAGAACAAAACAGTAAAAGCTCTGCGGCAGTTCTCTCCTCTGGTTCAGTGCTGACGAAAGCTGCATGCTATTCTGCTTTCAACCTCTAGAGGGAGCTAATGTTCCCTGTTGCATCTAGTGAGATGATGCACCAAAAACATAGAGTGAGGGGCTTCCCACACATGTATCCCACAAATACAATATGCAGTCTCAGAACCCACAAATCTTTTGTTTCACCTTTCCGTTTGCAATTGTATTTTAAATGTAATCATTAATATTATATTATGATAATAAACATTGCTTTACATTAAAAATGATTTACTGTTTTTAAATTATTTGAATGATATGATACACTCTAGTTTCTACTGTCAGCACAGTGAATATTTTTGAACAACCATTTAAATTAAAAACAAAAGAATTGCTGTTAAAAAGTAACAAAATACAGAACAATCAAATACTCATTTTACTGAAGGCTTTGGGTTCCATTTTGAGATCCACTGCTCTCTAGTCTATTGAAAACAGACTACTTCAAGCTGCATGTGCAGGTATAAGGAATGTTTAACTCAGTGATTTAAAGCCAATTTCCAGAGGGGAATGATAAATCAGAACAAGAATGCATTGATTTACAGTTAATACTGTTAAGGAGCATGAACAGTAGTGTTTTGGAACCATTTCACAATAAGGTGTAATAATCCAGTGTTTATGAGTGGTCGGGTATGACTTTATGAATGGTCAACAGAACTATCCATTCATTCTTTACAGATCATAATGCACAAACGCCTTTATCAAAACCTTCTGTTGGTTCAAACTGTGTATGGAAGAGCTCCTTAAAAAACAAATATAACCATGTTGATGAGAAAAAATACACTTACTTAAAGATTTTTTTCATGAAGCATAATGTATGTACGGTAAAATGAATACGTATAATCCACAGTAACCATTTCCTATGTACTGTAGGTCACTGTGACATTCACTCTGCTGTTAATCATTCAGGAAGCTCTTCTACATTAGACCGGATAGGTTATTGATCCTCATCTTGCACTCTCTCACTGCAGAAAGGCCAGCAGCCTCAGGGAGAGTTCTGTACATGTGAGCTCTTTGTCCTTTCGCTGTCCTCACATCCTTTCCCATCTCCCCCCCCCCCCCCCTCTGATCGGCTCCCCTTATTTCATTTCCCCCCCCCCCCCTCATTCATTCACTCTCTATCCTGCCTAACCCCTCCACTTTTCTCCCCCCTCTCCTCTCTTTTTCTGTGCATCTCTCCTCTCTTAGTCCATATGTTTGGCGTGTCTCTTTCGGTGCCCTCAGTGAGGTTTCTGTCCTGCAGTAGAAACCAGGGGAGTGAGTGGCGCTCGTACGATGCAAGGTAGGAAAAGGAAATGCTGGTGTCATGCATGGTGGATGCAGAGAGATTAAGTGTGTTGCAACACATTCAGCAGCGTCATGATGCAGCAAGATTTTGAGGCATTGCATATCAGTTGAGAATCATGTTTCCTCTCTTTATTTCTGCAGAGTTTAAATACTTCAGGGATGGGGCTACAGTGGTGATTTCATTCGATGGTTTGAACTGGCTTTCTAAAAGGAGATGCAGTGAGAAAGGAACCAAGAGAAGGTATTATTTTTATTTTTATTCATGTGATTGATGGTCTGTCAGCGTTTGTGTCTTTGCCTCTTGTGGTGGTGGGTCTGTTTGTGTATTGGCTGTTTATAATCTGTCTTTACCCTGAGCTCCTGCACCTGTTACACAGTGAGGTGTTAACTTACCCAAAACAGCGCAGATTACAGCCTTCACGGCCTACTGCATACGTGTGTGTGTGTGTGTGTGTGTGTGTGTGTGTGAGACCCTACAGTGGTGCATGTATGTGTGTGTCCTTTTACATCCTTTACGTCACAGCTGCTGTGAGTCAGCTCCTCTCTTCCTTTCCTGAGTCACTCATCCAGCGGTTGCTTGGTTACTGCAGAGCGGTGAAAGTTTCCTATTGCGTCTTTGTCTCCGCGGATGGATGGGCCCCGATATTTATTCAGGCTCAGGAGTGAGTGGCCAAATAATGTATGTGTTTGTGTGCATGCGTGCGTTTGTGTGTGCACTGTTTCATCCAATGGACAAAGGCTGACCGATCAGTTTTAGTACATCCTGTTGTTAACAGACACTGAAGGGCAGTCTGTGTACTGAAGCCAACCTCTTAAAATGTCCAGTGGAATAAAACAACACAGACACTGAAACAGAGTTGACATTTGTGTGTAAACCAACCTTATCTTGTTGAATCTTTATTGAATATTACTTATTTGGCCAGGCACAAGCAGTCAAATTAAGGTCCTGTGTGTAACATTTAGGAGGATATATTGGCAGAAATTGAATTTAACCTTAGGTATTCATAGGTTTTGGAATGAGCTGTTTTTATCTACAGATGCATTGCTTCCATGGAGTTTGTCATGTTGAACCACCATGTTTCTACAGTAGCACAGAACAGACAAACCAAACAGATGTAGATAGGGCCTTTTTTATGTTTTTCACAAGTGTTGCGGCCACCGTAGTGTCTCTTACACACTTCACAGCCCATTTTCATTCCCAGGAGCAGTGTTCATTGATCTGCAACTTCACCACGAGATACTAAGTCTGACACACTGGATGTGCTGCTGTGCCAATTTAGAATTTCACTTACGGAGGGATTGATAAAGGAACATCTTATCTTATCATTCTATTGGGGTTATGTTTCTGTCCATCTGATCAGTATAAGTCCAACATTCACTCTTTTAGCTCTGTCTTTGATCTCTACCAACTCCTCAGGGAAATATCTGGCTCTTTAGCTGCTAAATGATCCACTATGTTCATCAACTAGTCGCTAACTCTGTCCACCTGCTGTTTGCCGCTGAGCAGGTAGTGTACATTGTTTTTTTTAGAGCTTATTCACTGAAAACAGCAGCCTGCTACAGCTGAAAATGACGCTATGAGACTGGTGAGAGTTGATCAGAACAGTTAAGCTGAACAATGAGCTAAAAGTCACTATAAAGCTTCATAAAGCTGGAGTGGACCTGCAGATTTTCACATTGCAATGCAACTGCAATGTAGGTAATTGCCACATTATAATAACAATAAAGTCATGCCTTTAAAGTATAATTCTGGTTTTCATACAACTTGGGTGTTTAACCAAAGTAATTGCCATAATCTATGAACGCATCTACATCAGTTCAAGGTTCTCCATCGAATCCATTATAGTAGAGTCAGACTCTCTAGGATATAGTCTAATGTCAGTGAAACATGTGAACGTTGTCATATTGCTAAGGCCGACCTGGCCCATATGTTCTGGTCCTGTAACAAACTGTATAATTTTTGGACTATGATATTTCAAACTTTATCTGAAGCTTTTAGCAGAGATATCCAACCCAGTGCTGAAATAGCTATATTTGGAGTCCGAGGGGAGGGTATATCAATGACAAATAAAATTAAAAATGAGCTTGCTTTTTCAACTCTCCTGGCCCTGAGAAGAATCCTGTTGGAGTGGAAATCAGCACATCCACCCAAAGCTTCCTCCTGGATGAAAGACCTGATCCTATTCCTTAAGCTATCTTATTTTGAGAAACTTGAAGTCCTCCCTCAAAACTGAAAATTAAGCAGGAATAAATCCTGTTGTGCTTGTGCTTGTACCTCCTTGGAGACTCAGGGACCTCAGAAAACCTGTGTAGTGATAATCACAGAAGGCAAATAGCCTACTTGTATTCTTTTGAATATCCACTTTTTCTCTTATTTATTCATTTATTTTGTATATATATATATATATATATATATATATATATATATATATTTGCCCTGGCAGCATGGTGGGGACAGGTGGGGGGAAAGAAAATAAGAAAATAAGAAGAATGATGTACCGTATGCTGAATATCTGTGATGAATCCTCATTTTTTCTCAAATAAAAACATGTAAAAAAAAAAGAAAAAAAAGAAATACTTTTTCTGTGTTCCCAGTTCTCAGCAATTACCTTGGTAAGAACAGTGTTATTGTATACTTTTTTCACAGCAGACATTTTGTCTTGGAAACACAAAGGTGTTACTATAAAATTAATGATGGCTCTGTTCCCTTCCAGAGTAAGCCATTACAGTGATCCAAAAATAGTTTAATTTCTTTTACATGTGATAATGAACAGAAGCAGTTTGAATTTGAAGTCTCAATGAGCCACTGTGAATCATTCATGCAGGGATGAAGAGCTCCAGTCGTTGATGACCTCAGGTCAGATGATCCGGGCTGCTGAGGAGCAGCCGATCACATGCTTCTGTATCCTTGAACAAAGAGGAAGTACAGCCCCTCAGTTATGGAGGAACAGTGACTGTAGATCAAGCTTGGTAACATGGCCGCCATCCCTCTCTATCTCCCTTCAACACTGTTGTCTTCCGAAGGAGCCCAGACATCGTTCAAAGTTCACTCCTTTAGCTTCTTTTGTGTCAAACTTCCCGAAGGAGGCCCAGTGGATGAGACTTATTTTAAATATGCGGGACATTTTCAGTTTTATGAAAAAGGATTTAAACATTGTGACCCTGCAGGACACTCTTACATTAGATCATAATAGCTTTATCATTTTCTGTGACGAGGACATACTGCTGCAACGCTTTGGTGACACTGAGGATTGTAGGACGTCTATAGGGGATACTGGTTGGAGTATCAGTGAAAACAACATGTTAAGTGATTTGAAAATCTCCACAGCCCACTGGCCCCGCAGTCCCAGCACCGACAACTCAAAGGAGATTCAACATGAACCGGTCTGCAGAGACAGTTTTAACACATGCAACTTTAAAAGTCTTCTGAAATCCTGTCGAATCTGCAGCGCTCCACAGGTTTTGTCTGGGAGGGACAGGAATGTAAAAAAGAAAAAGAGCGTGTCCTTTGATGATGATGTCACAGTCTACCTGTTTGATCAGGTACTGTTCTCCTGTTGCCTGTTTAACTGTAGCTTGATGGGTTTTGGGCTTTGTTTCCCACTGGGCATATGGAGGTTAAATACATACACAGTGATCGTTCCACTAATCCAAACCAAGGTTCTCTAATATGACGTTTCCTGTTTAATTTCCACTGACTATCCACTGCTACTATTCTTAGGAGAGTCCCACCGTGGAGCTGCACTCTGGGCCCTGCACATCTCTGCCAAGCAGCTATTCCTGCAACCTGCCAGATGTCATATTAGAAGACAGTGGTACTCTTTTAAAGGACTATACCAGTGATTTTACATGTGCAACCACATTTCATTTTCTGTGAACATTACTGCAGACTATTTTACACTGGTGGAAAATAACTAAGTATAGTTACTCAAGTTATGTACTTTAGTAAAGGCACTTGTGTTTCCATTTCATACTGCACTCACTGCAAAGAGGGAAATATTGTCCTTTTTCCTCGACTAAATTAATTTGAAGGGTAGTTACCAGTTACGTCAAAAATATTAAAAGATTTTACACACAAAACATAAAATCTTAACATGTGATGGATTGAACTGTTGAACTACCCAACAGTATATAAAATACGTACAATTAGCTCCACATCGACCAGCTACAATCTTAAAATTAAAGTAACAATAATGTAATGATATGAATGATTTTAGGTGTATTTTATTAAAAATAGCGTTTGAAAATATAGGTATTTTACAGTGTGGTACTGCAACATTTACTGAAGTGCATATGATGAAAATCCACAATCTAATTTGTCATCTTTTTGCTCAATTTTGAAAGACCCAGTGGTCTATAACCAGACTTGAAATATGAATTTCTCCATTTGCACCATTAAAACACTATATTGCATTAAGGAAAACACACAGCTTTCGAAATGGTGAATGTGGACGAGATCACAATCTGAAACCCTCACATTGCCCACCCCTACAGTATATTGTACTGAAATGTTTTGATGTAATTCTGGCTGAAACAGGATGTTGGAACACACATCAACAGGGGTTATTAACCAAGAGACAGAATATATATATACATATATACATAGTATTTTGACCCTAGTGTGGACAATTCCTGATTATGTCACTAACTACTTCAGACTACAAGCCCTCTGGCAATGTAATAATACCAGGGTGGGACAATACAAGGGTTAGCAAACTTTAATGTTTGTAAGCCTTGCTAAATCCAGATGCTGCAGGTTATTGACACTTCGTTGTCTCTGACTGTTTGTTTTGTTGGTTTTGCCTGCAGGTTTGGAGTGGGAGGACGACTTCTCAGCCTTGGAGAAGAGCTGCCATTTTCAGTGTGTCAGACACTCGATATCTCAGCAATACACCCTTTCCTTGCCAGAGCAGAGCTGCACTGCTCTGCCCAGGCGTTTCTGTCTGTCCCAAACCTGCCTGTTCCTCACCCATGTCACTGAGTCAGACCTTGAGCTGTGAGATAAAGGGTTCGTGACACACGTATACACACACATAGTGAGTTATAGGTGCTTATTTTTATGACACAGTGTTTGCAGCCTTTCTATCAAATCGTCTGCCTTCAGCCAAAGGCAATCTCACTGTCACCATGGCCTAACGTGACATCCACACTTGTTTTTCTTTCAGACAGCCAGCCTTGGCCTAATGGAAAAACTGACTAATCATCCAGATCTCGTCCTCCTCACCTCTAACTCGTCTGCCCACCCACCCCCCTCCTCTTTTACGATGAGTCAGGGATTTTAATGGATTTTTTCCCTCCCTCTTCTCCAAATGGATTCATAGCACCTGGCGTTCATGACATCACAGCCACGCAGGACTGTGTGACAGTGCATTCAGCCTTCACAGTTGTTGGTATTACACGATCACTGGCTATGATGTGATAAAACAGCCAGTTGCCTAACAGTGCTGGTACCTTTCCAGCTGTAAACCTGTTTGGAAGCTGTTTTCCATGCCAGGTTGTGTCCTTGGACCTGAAACATTAATGTTTTAAATTCCAAATTACATGAGTTTAATAAACTGTCATTAGTGTCTGGAATCCCATTTTATCTTTAAATTGTTGTATTCAGCAAATTCCAGGTTAATCTTGGGACTATACTAAGACTATACTGTTGTTTATACAGTTTGTTTTGCTAAAACAGAGCATGCTTGTGGAGGCCCTGTTTGCTTGTCTCATTACTGAAGTGTATTCAGCTAAGAATTTATCAGCGGCTGTGGCTAAATAAACAGTGTAAGCCTTAGGGCCAATGGAGGCAGAAACTGAACAAACTAAAAGTAATAGATAATGTTTCCACAGAGCCAGCATCAGCAAGGTTTGGTTGATTAGATATAGTGTACCTGAAGAGGAAAGGAAACCTGGCAGGACCAGTCTTAGTACACACACACACACACACACACACACACACACACACACACACACACACACACACACAAGCTGTTCAAGGACAAAAAAAGCTAATAAAAAGAGCTGGGAGCTTCACACCTGTAGCTACAGTATTGTTGTTGTTACACATTTGTAATACTCAGTGTTAATGTTACTAACAGTCAAATTACACTGATGTTCTTTATCCATAAACTGATCCTGGTTAATGGCTTATTTTTAACTAGGCTACCATAAAGTAGGCTATATTTCTATTATTGCTACTTTTATTTAAAACTAGTTAAATTTGCTCTGTCAGGTTCTTCTTTAAGCTAATGTGCCACTTAGCCTTAGATTTGTTACATTAAAAAGTAAAGCATCAGAATTATTTAGTAATACGCTATTTAGACAGAAACTAAACAAAAAATGTTAAGTAATCAACATTTCCCCCTTATTAATTCATTAAATACTTTACGTATGTTGCTGCTACACTGTTGCTACATTTTCTGGTTAAGCTGCGCTTCCTAGCTGCTAGCTGCTAGCTTGCGCATGGCTCTTGCTCAGTGTGTCGCTGTGGCTCAGAAACTTCATGGTTTTATATGAAAAAGTTCTAAATTAACTTAAGAGGACATTTCTTAGCTTTAAACTTCACAAATTTGGAAATAATGCATGGGAAGAACACAATATCTACTGCGTTCAGTCTGCCAACATTAAACACCTTTGTTGTTTACAATATTTAATACATTAGTTAAAAAAGAAGAAACCTACAGTTATTTGATAACAGATGTTATTATCAGATTAGTCAAATTATCAACAAATAAAAATGAACATGATAGAGGGCAGAACTATAAGCTTGTAATAGAAATTTATCTAAAATGCTTTTAAACCAGTTACATTTTCCTTTTCTTTAAGTTAGAAGTTTACTTTCAATAATTCAGTTTAATCTAATGTAAGAAGTGGATATTTATTCATTTGGATTTTTAAATAGATATATATATTTGATAGTTGATAGTTTAAGAATAAAATATAAAAAACATACTATAGGTATGGAAAAGACAGGCGTCTAGAAAAAGCCTCAAGAGACTGTGGGTTATTTCTGATTCACACTGTGCTGTGAAACATGATTTGACTGTATGAATGGTCAGTCAGTATATCTCACTGCCATGACACCACCCTTTCTCTACTCCACTATCTATCACAGTCCGAAGGGACAATAATCCCAACTGCCAACAGTTGTGTTTTGGTCCCCCAGGTCAAACAGACAAGGTGGGATACAGCAGATCACACACACAAGAGGGGAAGGGGTGTGTTTGTTGGTCATTATTTAAAAAGGTTTACTGTGTTATGTGTGTTCTGTCCTTTTTTTTCCCGGCCGTTTTGATCAGCGCAGTAGTTTGACGGCATCTGTTAGCTGTCATTACAGGAAAAACAACAGTGTTGTGCAAAAAGTTTGTTAGTCTGGTAAAAAGTAAATAATGTGACAAAGTTTAAATTAGGCCTGGCCCTGCCTCTGTACATTCAGGTTTAGCCTGGAGGACTGTATTCAAATAAAGCAGCGGAGGGTGATAAGCCACAATGGAAATTATGTTAACTGCTTAGAGTTAAAGGAGTGGATGAGGAACAAAAACACAGGGTTTCCGTTGACTGTCTCATTTGACTTAGAATAGGCCAAGAATTAAATATTAGATAGAGTTCAACCCATCATCTGCAGAGTGTCACCTTTTTCCTACAAAACTTGCAACTTAATTTAGTTTTCCTTCAAATCACATACATTCATGTAAATTACTTTTAGTGGCTTTTAAAAGAGACTGTAAAACTATGATACAACGCCATGGTGCTAACTCTGTGATGTTTCTACTTCAGGTATAATGATATTTGGAAAAACACATTTCCTTTACATTTTATGTATGTACATTCACTCAAGCACATACACTTTTGACTTTACTTGTGTATTTCCATTTTGTGCTGCTTTATACTTCTACTCCACTTAGAGGGAAATACTGTACTGTTTACATCACTACATTTGTTTAATCGCTGTACTTTTTCAATTGTACACATTCAGTCAGTTTATAAAATATGTTGCATTGCTACAAATTAAACTACCCTGTGGTATATAAAGCAGTTAAAATAAGTGCCACTGCTTAATGCATCAGTCATTATGGTGTGATAACAACAGACTGGAGCCAGTGGCCATGGTGAGTATGCTGTGTACATTATGCTGCTGATACTTTTTAACTTTTATGTAAAACTTTGAATACAGACTTTGTTGTTGTTGTTTTTTTTTTACTTTAACTTACATTTTCTGAATACTTGTTCCACTACCAAGTGCTGGGTTGTCAAATAATGTGGTCAAACATTTCTTTCTTTCTTTCCTATTAGGATAGGCCATTTTTGCACAAAGCCAGAAATCATGTAGTGTTGTGACATTGTTGCAGCATTTGGAGAGAGAGAGAGAGAGAGAGAGAGAGAGAGAGAGAGAGAGAGAGAGAGAGAGAGAGAGAGAGCACAGAGCTGGAGGGAGCGGGCTGGCTCTGTGATTGGCTGAGCAGCGCTACGTGTACATCAGTCAGCTACAGGTAGCTCACATGTGACAGTTATCAGATTGTGTGTGTGAGTGTGTGTGTGTGTGTGAGTGTGTGTGTGAGTGTGTGTGCGTGTGTGTGTGCGCGCTGCACGGCTCCGCTCTGCTCTTTACGCGATGGTGCTGTGGATGAGCGGCTGCATGGGGACGGCGTTTCTGTAAACACTCGGGAGGAAAGTTAGTGTTAATAACTTCCAAGGTAAGGCTTCTGACATTATGTCGTCCTGTTTCATTCACTTTGATGGCTGCAGACAGTGTGTGTATCATTTACTGACTGTACTGCTTGTGTGTCTGCTTATCAGTTACAACACTACCGTTGGGGTGATTAAACTAGGGTTAGGGAAATAAAGAAGGATGGAGTTTAGGCTGCATGTCATATTTTCATTACCTGCTCTAATCTGTGTAAAACAGCTTTATCTTTTACGTTTCAGGACTTTATCATATTTTATATCATTTGGTTTAAAGACATTTCCATTGCTTGTGAGTTGAGCTTACTCGTGTTAAATCCACATGGTGACTTTCATTGACAAACTGGGTAAAAAGGAGCGCTGGAGGTGAATTAGCTGAATGCTGCGCTGGCTGGCCTCTGTGTTTTTGTGAGTGTAACCTTGAAATGAGCATTATCGCAGGAGCATGGGGATAAGAGAGGCGTAGATTAACAGACCAACATCATGGAGTTTTCTCACTGCAACAGGCTGATTAGATACAACAGGATGCAAGGCTGTTTGAATTGGAGAGAGGATTATTCAGTGCTTGGGGATTACTGGCTGACTAGTAGAAGACTGTTTAAAATACTTTGAATTTATGTCAAAATGCCACTTTTTTATATTATTAGAAAAGTCCCTCTCTCTAACATTGCCCTCTTTTCTTGCAGGCCTGTTGAAGCTGTGAGATCTATACTGTTTAAGAGAGAGTGAGGCAGCAGGATGAAGTCCAAAGGGAAGGCTGTGAAACCATCCAGGAGGCCCTGGTCTGACCCCGAGCCCGAACTTGAACCTGACACAGAGCCAGGCTCCAGTGAGCAGGAAGGCTCGGAGGCTTCGGTGCCGATCGGCGGCTCCTGGAGGGGGTCGCTGAGGGACGGGGCCGGCAAGCGCCAAGGAGGAAAGGGCGGAGGCCGGCGACGTAGGCAACATGGCTCCAGCAAAAAGGAACGCAGCGTCAGGCGGCTAGAGAGCAACGAGCGGGAACGCCAGCGCATGCACAAGCTCAACAACGCCTTCCAAGCATTGCGCGAGGCCATCCCCCACGTCAAGACTGACAAGAAGCTGTCCAAGATCGAGACACTGACCCTGGCAAAGAATTACATAAAATCCTTAACCACCATCATCCTGGACATGTCAGGGGCCTGCCTGCCTGCTGGTGGGGACCCTTCAGAGTCCAGCGCTGCCAAGCTGCTCCAGTGCTACCAGCAGCACCTGGAGGAGGATGGGGAGGATGATCTCACCCAGTACCTCACCCACGTGCACAACTTCAGCAAGCGCAGCTAACAGTGGCTGCAGTGTGGTTGTGAGACCAGGAGAGCCACCAGGAAGCTGTCACAGAGGCCTGGGTAGACTTTTGGGGCCAAATCTCAAACTATATCCAGTTCCTACGTGCGCACCACTCTGGGATCTGGTCAAAAGTGTTGTTCACTGTAGGAACCGGGTGCTGTGGCAGATCATAGACCTCTGTCAATAAACCCATGCTTGACCAAAGCAAGAGGTGGGCTGTGTAGAACTTGCCCTTCATACGAAATATGGAAGGATTTGAGGACCATTCACCTTACAGACACAAAGACTGCAGACTGTGAAACCCAGATGGATCGTGGTTATGTAGAGTGAAATGTGTTGTTGTGCTCAGAAAGGAAGGGCTAATCTTTTGCCATTCTCTTATTTCTCGTCTTCTTCGATATGAGCCTGAGCAGGAACTCTCTTTTGTGTTATCTTGTGATCTGCTTGTGTGTTTTCTGTTGAGAAACCTGCTCATTGTAGCCTCCAGTCATAACTGTCACATTCAGGAAAAAAAGAAATGCAAGCAGCGGGTAAAAACATTTAAATGTTGGAGCTAGAAAGTGTGTTTGCTTATTTGCTGATGAGGATAGTCTACCGGCAAGTTGACAGTTGATTAACTTGTCTTCTTAAAGGTTGTGCGCCCATAGCTTGGAGTCCCAGATGATGTTTAAAGTGCGTGTTATTTGACTTTTTGTGTGTTGAGGCAGGACTCTGTAGTGAAAAAGAGGAGAAGAGAAACTATTTGAAGAGTTATTATCAATAAACATTTATTTATTGACAAGGACTGTTATTTTGACCATGCACAACACTTAAGAAATGTACTCCACAATGTCAACAGCACTGATGTGTTACAGTAACAGTTATTCACAGATAATACAGACATAGCTCTGTACACTTTCAACATTTCCAAATGCTGCATCATATTTTGAAAATATGGGGTAATTTAGGCAGCCGTTAACATAAATTAATGCCTGAACAGATGCAATTCATCAGTGTATGTGGTAATGAATATGTCTTAATGGAAATATGTCTTTTTTAATACATTGCTCTTTGTTCAATGTACAAACACGACTTCATCTTATATATTACCACAATACTTACTGTATAATAATAATATCTTACAGACTTATAACAAAAATATAGTGTTCTTTTAACGTTTTTTTTTCTCCCTGCTCAGTCATTCTACCATCAGGCCAAAGGAAGTAGGCGGTGTGCAAATGCAAACATTCTCCTGAGAAAGAGGAAGGTTCAGTTTTAGCATTTTACCACAAGACTTTTACAAGTAATTCATAATTTCCAACTTATTTACATTGCTAACCATTGCACATGCTCCATGACAGCAACAGAAGAATGACACCATATTTTAGAAAACAACATTAAAATCTTTATAAAACATCACTCTACGACAGGTAAATAAAGCCAGTGCAGGACTTGTTACAGCTTCTATGTTCTGGCTCCAAAAAAAACCCCATAATATAAATAAGAACAAAAATCTAACTGTATTGGAAGTTAATTGGAAAACCTCCAAATTCCCTGAAGAAATATAGGGTCAATATTTATTTTTAACAAGTTAAAAGGTCTTGTTTGTACCATTAGAGGACCAGTGTGTAAGAATTAGTGGCATCTAGTGGTGAAGTTGCAGACTGCAACTAACTGAACACTGCGCTCATCTCTATTTAATGACCTGGGAATGAGAACAGGCTGTTAAGTGTGTAGGAGAAAGTACCGTGACCACGAAACACGAAAGGCCCGATATACAGCCAGTGTTTGGTTGACCCACGGTGTCCATAGATAAAAACAGCATCATTCTAAGGTAACAAAAAGACAATCATTTCTGTATTTAGGTGATTATACGCTAATGAAAACATACCTTTGCATACCCATTTCTGAAAATAGATCCTCCTGAATGTTACACACTGGACCTTTAAACAGCCTTCTTGCCCTCAAACTCTACTTCACACAGGTTTCACCATATTATCCTAAATTAGATTTTCTTCCTCAAAACAACTGGCAGCATTGTTGCAACAATAACTTTTCAAAAACCTACGAAATTAGAAACAGATGCTATCCATGTTTTTCCACAGTCAGTAGTTTAAACGTTATTCCAGTGTAGACTAGCAGACATGGATCAAACATTGTCCTGTCTGAATTATCCAGTTATCAATTCTTCTGTTTCCAGAGTAATCAGGCTTTACTCTGTTGGAACATGTGTCAACCTGTTGACTACAGGCTAAGATTAAACTTTTTATTTTATACACAATACCAGGCCTGGAGCTGACAGTTCAGCAGCTAAGCCGCTGTCATTAAAGTACACTATTTCTTTTCCCTTTTCAAAAAACACATTTGTTCAAAGCATCCCTTCCGCCTTCACCTTACATGTGATAATCTAAACACAGAAACCACACAAACATCATACTCTAATGAATAAATAAGAAAAATACATTAAGACCATCAAGTTCAGTGTCAGTAAACAAAAACAGCAATGGCAAACAGAATTAACAGAAATGCTGGTACAAAGGAGATGAATGTTTAGTAAAATGAACAACATACACACCATAAGACTAGAGGTTGTCTTCAGACAGAAGGAGACAAATTCAGCTCAGCATTTCAGATTGTTCTGAATGCCCCAAAATCTTTCTGTTACGACAGCTGCAGTGACGTGAAGACTAAAGGCTGTCTGGGGTGGAATTATCTACAAAGGTTTACTACAATGGCAATATTTAGGATATCTATGTACAGTATGTGTCTGCCTATGTGTGTGTGTGTGTGTGTGTGTGTGTGTGTGTGTGTGTGTGTCTAGCATCCCACAGCACTGCTGTTGATCTCCGTGTTCCTGACAGGGAGGGGGGTCCTCTCTGTTAGAGAGGGAAGATGGACCCGGGGCGGCTCCATGGAGTTCCCTCTCACTGTGATGTGGTCCCATCCACCCTGAAAGACAGGAAGATAGAGAGAGAGTGAGAAGCTTTAATCACAAGAAAGGAGTGTGTCACGTCTCCTGATAGCTGGCAATCTGAAACAAAAACATTTTTAACATAACTGCTAATATCAGGCAAAATAAAGTATCTAAGACTTTTGAAATAATACTACAATTTAAGGCTTTTAATAACTTCTAAGACCTTTTTTTGAGGAAACTAAATTGCCTTACCCCAATGCCATAGTCCCACGACTGTCCTTTAGGCTCCAGAGGTTGCACTCCGAGTCGATGGCACACCGTTCCACAGCTCAAACTGTGGCTGCCCTGCACCTTGTCCGCTATGATCCACACCTACACACCCACAACAACACAACATGCAAGGGTCATTTATAACCTCAGTCTTATTTCTTATGAGGATTTTGGTGGATTCATGTGCTCACACATACATTTTGAATAATATACTTTGCATACTTTCCTGTCGGACGCTTCCAATTGCCAATTCGGAACTTCATTAATCATTACCGACAGCATTCTCATGTTCACCAACCCAGTTTTTCTGAGATTTCATACCACATGGAATATCAAATTGAATATGCATCACAAAAAAAGGCTCAGAACTGCTGATATATATTATATGATGACTGGCACATCCACACTTATCATTTACTTCAGTGTAGACAGTAAGAGAGGCGACCAACAGTGAAAGAAGTTCCATAAGGTGCATTTACATGCTCCTTGGATGATCCCATTTCCTTAACATCTTAAAAGTATGGTGTCGCTTATGAAAGATGGATGATAAGAAAAAGTCCTCCATGTTACTGTGTGATATATGACGTCAACTCAGCAAGTCGTGTGCCAAAATTTTCACAGACTTTCTGAATTGTTGTTCCAACTTAAGGGGGCATTCATGTAAATTTTCCCAGTTTGGGAACAGATTTTTCCTATTATTCCAATACCACACGAATGCAGCAATATTGCAGTACTGAGACCCTGGTACTGACCTGGTCCAGAGGACCTGCGGAGACCTTGCGTACATTATTAGAGATGTGTTCCCAGGAGGATCCCTGAGGGTAGCTGGGGGTTACGCCCTGCCGGTACCACAGGTTACCTGGACAGGAAATAGCCACGTCAGACATATAATCAGAATTTGTCTATGAGAAACATAATAAGAACCAAGTATCAGGTATATCAAGTATCTATTTCTCAAAATGAATGTTTGTATGACTGCAAGGTGCGAATACAAACGCAATTGCTTTACCATTTTCATCTACAGTGTAGACTGATGTCCTCCCGACAGACACCTGCTTCAACTTCTGTTTGGATGGGGAGGGGATGTGGTACCAACAGTCTCCTGCAGAGGGAGACACAACACATATTATTGTATAAGGGAAACTTAAAGGCTGACAAGTTTTATTTCTTTAACTCTGCTCATTTGTAAGTAAATATCAATATTTTTGACTCAAGTTCGACAGTGGCATGAATGATAATCTCTGGTCTCCCTGTCAGGAACATGGAGATCAACAGCAGTGCTGTGGGATGCCACACACACACACACACACACACACACACACACACACACACACACACACACACACACACACACACACACACACACACACACACACACACACACACACACACACACACACACACACACACACACACACACACACACACACACACAATATCACAGCTTCTCCCACTGACCTGCTGGGCTCTGTGAAGAGACAGATCCCCTGTAAAAGGCAGAACCATCCCTGGCGATGGCCCAAACCTGGCTGGCAGCTCCGATGGAGATGGACTTAAAAGGCTGGTCAGTTCCCACGTGGAGCCACGAAGATCCCTGAGAGACCAACAAGAGGCTGTAAGAACAATCTACTACCAAGTACTTAATTATTTGTGGTTGCAGGTACACTGGAAGCAACTTTGCATACTTATTAACAGACAGTGGACATAAAAGACATCCCGCACTCTCTCCACACTATGTCTAATGCGAGAAAGAACCACCTGGTACTGTTCTGCACAGTTGCAATGACAACAGGAAAATGGCTCTGAATGTTTATGGGTGACTCACCAAATGCTGTTTAACCTGTTCATGGGCTGTCTGTTGGCATGCAGTTAAAGTGACTCACAGCAGGTGTCAGTGCGGTGACTCCCAGTCGGCAGAGCACGTCTCCCTTGTTGCTGATGGCCCACAGAGGAACCACATCCACGCTGCTCTGAGCTGCACACGGCAGGATGGTTACATCACTCAGGGGTATAGGCGGAACTTCTTGCCAGGGTCCTGTGGTGGTCAGTTTACACTTCCTGTGCAGGAGGGGAAAACACAATGGTCACAGATGCCCTTAAGGGAGTTCTTTAGTTAATCTTTTAATTAGTTTTAGTTTAAGTTAAAATAACAAATTCACGTTTTAATGTTAATGACAGTCATGTGTTCTGGCTCCATTGGTCTTTTAATACAATTATATACAATTATATAATTACACCAACAGATCATAGGGATTTCTTAATAACCTGCTCTCATCTAAAATCATAGTTAAAATAAACCAGCTCTGAAGAACCAAAAAAATCCAGACTAATGTCAAATCTATATTATTCTCTAAAACACTCTCATTTGGATAACTCGTGTATAAAGAACGGGGCCCAGGTCTGCCCATTATATTGATGTACTTTGCCTATAATTTGTTGATGTAACTTTTGTGTGCTTTTATTGTTATATGTGTACTGTAATCAGTGTGTCCTTGTGACACTCCCTGTTTAAATATAGTTTAGAATAATATTAAAATAATTAATTTCCAACACTGATCACCTCCTGTCAAACCTCTATATTCTGAGTCCCTGCTCTGTCACCTTTGCTAAGTATGCAAGTTAACTTTTTTTAAAAACCTACACAAACACAAACAAAAACTTAAAATGTCAAGTGCTCTCTGGGAACTTTGTATCTGTTGATTAAATAAATTGGAGAGACTACAATGACAGTGTTGCTTTTTATAGTACCTGGCCCATCGCCTGCGACGCACAAAGTCCTTCATCGTTTTATGGCCATGATATGACCTGCATGGAGAGATGGGGAAGAGGATTACAGAAGATATCAATAAATGAAGGTCTGAATTATAAGGGCAGCATAGTTTGAACTAACTGACAGAGTAGGTGGGTTTGAAATCAAACTTACGCTGGAAAATCAGCTGCATATTGCCAGCCTTCTTTGTCCGTCCCACCAGAGACGCTGTAGTCGATAGTCCAGTCAGATACCTGAGAAGCAAATATCGGAAGTGAAACACAGTGATCGCGTCAGTATTTTTGGCTACACACCTTGTCTGTGTTAATTCAAGAACAACTATTTATAGTTTCCAAACGTATGGTCAGGATAGAAGGTTGGTGGTTAATCTGTGGACCAAAGGACTGGTTTCAAATCACTACAGGGCATTTCTGTGTGTGTGTGTGTGTGTGTGTGTGTGTGTGTGTGTGTGTGTGTGTAGCTCTTCTTACCCACGTCCAGTGAGGGGAGGGTGGTTTCATATTTGTTTTCGTGCACTCGTGTAGTCCTGATGCGTCACTCCACATGTAGCGGTCTGTAGGTAGCCCTCTAAAATAAACCAGACACAATTTAAATGGAGTTATGACTTTACACTCCAAATTAAAGCAGTAGAAATGTATACATTTATGTGTCACATCATAGTGTTATGGTATAGGTTTAGATGTTTAGGAAAAAAAAAAGACAACTCTTGGACTCTCATCAAATTGCAGTCACATGTGGCATTTTTACAGTATTTGTCATATTTAATTTCCATGAGATGTTAACTGTAAACAGTAAAAACTGAAATGTGTAGTTGCCGCAATTTTATCGCAGTTCTTAAATGTGAAAATCAAATTAGCCATATTAGCCTGGAAAGTTCTAGGTTGGAGACAATTCAATTATCTGACCAAACAAATCTAATATTTCAGCAAACGCTTCTATTGACAAAAACTATGTATTCCATAGAAAGTACAAACTTCCCTCTTTAACTTGAATCTCAGCGTTGCCTGAAAGAGTACTCTACCTGTTGGTGTAGCCGGTGACAGGGTTCCATCTCTGGTTCTCATATATGTAGACATTCTTGACATCCACCTGTGTGTAAATATTATCTGTGCTGCTGGCCAGTCCCTGGAAGAAGCCTCCTCCATAACCCCCAGTGTAGACCCAGGCAGTGTGGTCGTATCCAATCCCCCACACTATGCCAATACTGTTACACTCCACCACACGTAGGTGACCTCCAACTTGCCGCCAGAACCTGCACAAAGGAAAAAATGCTTCATGAAGGCTGAGTGATTAAGGCAATTATTTACCCCCTCTGTGTAGTAGCTTATTCTTACATCTGGTCGCATGGTGTGGGGTAAGGCATGGCCTCCAGACTAAGAGAGGGCTCACTGACAAAGATGTCCCCTTTACAGGTGATGGACCAGATGGCCTGTTTGGAGGGAGGACCTTGGATCCCCCTGGAGTCGCAGCACGACACGCTCAATAACGCCAGCTTGAGACCGGGAGGGAGGTGACAGCACACAGATTGAGTCGGGAAGGGAGGGAGAGAGACAAATGGGAAGTGATTAAAAGAGCCAGAAATAAATAGGAAATAGGCAGAAATCTGTGTGCAAATCACACGGGCATCCAGAACACATAGAAGACTGGCATGCATTTATAAAACAAGTGTTATTCTCAGCACATGTTGGTTCTAAAATCTTTTTTTTCCCGGCCTTATAATAAATAATTTTTGGTGCAAGCACAGACTGAAGTCGCAGAAACCATGCATTTTTGCATAATAAACATCTTGGCACAACAGCATGAGTTGGGCTGCAGTTTGATGTTATCAGTAGTAATGCTGTGTGGTATCCATACATACCCAATCATGCATCTCTAGCTCGGTGGCAGCTGACAATCTGATTGGCCACCTCTGTTTGGTCCGCTCAGGAGTATAGATGGCGAAACTGTGTTTGGAGTCATTAAGTACAGGAACCAGGATAGTGACCTCATTGACGAAGGCATGAAGGTACTAGAGAGAGTGACAGCAGAGTGGGAAGAAGAGAAAAAAAGTAGTTAGAAAGTAAAAAAATAAATAAATAGAGGAAGAAAGAAGAAGAGTGCAGGAGCGGAACAACAGCACTGATTCATTTGAATGACTCACTTCAGAAGAGTCCGTTGTGTTTACAGACACAGGCACTGAACGCATATGAAAAGTCTAATCCACACACAATTATTCCTCACCTTCTTCTCCTCATAAAAGTTGTAATAGATGAAAAGGATGCCATCCTTGTTGCCCTCTGGTCCTGAGAACTGCTCCAGAGCAAAATGAACATCTATCCACTTGTGTGGCTTCCAGTCTCTCCACCACTGCATGGTTCCCTTCTTCACCCACACAGACTGCATTGGGATTAAGCATTCAGCAGAGTAGTGAATTAATAATAAAACTAAGTACTAAGTTTGAAAAACACCACACAAAGACAGCGACAGAAATAAATAGAAAAGAACAAATATCCTTAAGATCAAGTATAAAATCTCCTGCTGTTGGGCAGGTACCTGTTCTATGGCTTGTTCATAATGTCTGAAATTATCCATCTCTCTTTTGGTCCTCTCACTGAGTTGCTCAAAGATTTGTTTTCGCCAGGCTGCTGTCTGGGCTGGGGTGACAGACAGACTCATGGACTGAACTGACTGGACCATAGCTGAGAAGGATAGAAAGAAAAAAAAAAATCAATAACTGAAAAAAGAAAGGGAAACAGAGTTTGGGCGTTAACTGCACCACAGGTTTCCTGCAAACATGAAATTGACATGCGTTATGTTATCAAATAATTATGTTTTACACCACTTTATAAATGGGTCGTGGTTGTTGCTCTTTTACCTCCAGAACAGCCTAAATTCTTCGAAGCACTGATTCAATGTTAAGCTGTGAGTCTAGCAGCTCAATCATTTAACTCACATGAGGTGTTCATAGAACAGTTGAACCAGTTGAGTTGGGTGTGACTGTCCACAGAGCAGCCTCCTCCACTGACCCACGCCCACATAGGGTGCTCATCTACCCCATATGGGTCCTCCATGGCCAGAGTGAATGTGGCCACTGATGACAAGCTGCTGGTGTCAGCTGTGTCCACCACTGCTCCGGTCTGGGCCTGCTGGCCCTGCGCCTCCTCCAGATCCACGTTACTCCACTGGGGGTCAAGAGGACCTACAGACTGGCTGGGGGAAAGAGATACACCAACATCTGGGGCTTTGACCTCTCCTTCTAGAGGTATGGTCTCCTCCTCCAGAACAGCTGGGCCGGCAGACCTTACCTCTCTTGAGGTCTTTCCTGGTCCTCGGTCAGAGACGAGTTCAGAGATGAAGCTGTCGCTGGTGACTTTGGGGATGCGGGATTTGGGGGTCTCAATAGGTTGGTCAGAGTGTTCTGTGGGGGCATCAACAAAGGACTCTGGGGAGGAAGAGGTGATGATGCAGCTAGCTCCATCAGTAGATCCTTTCTCTGTGTCTGACTCCACATCACTCACTAGTGACTGAGCACGCACCTCTCCACAGAAGTAGCATCCAGCACTGTGAAATGGAAGGAGAGGAACTGAATGAACTTATTATTCTCTTCCCTGCAAACATATATATAACATTTAAAGGTTATATAAATCATATTTTTAACATGCTATGTAAATGAAGTTACACTCCCTGTCTCTATGTGTTGTTCCCAGAGCTGTTTTTTTTTTTTGTCAGTGGAGTCTGGTGGTGAGTGACAGCAATATATTGACTTTCTGGTTAAACAAAAAGGATTTTACTCTTTAACTAAAAGATATATCTATGTAGGGATCCTTTTCATAATGCTGTCAGGCACTTAGAATAGCAATCTGGGCCTGTCAGTGGCAAAAACAAGCACTTTCAGTGGACATACTTTGACAGGCGCATTTGTCTCCAAGAAATTACATTGACACCATTGTAGCTGTTTTGCAGCTGCCAGCTGAGGCATAGTGCCAGAATACTTTCACATCCAACTTGGTGAATTAGGGGTTTATTATTTATAGTGTGTGTGTGTGTGTGTGTGTGTGTGTGTGTGTGTGTGTGTGTGTCCAGGTCTCTCTACCTCTGCAGGCTGTGTGCACTGGCACTGGAGTGGGATCGGTCTCCGTCTCGGGGGACGCTGATGACCTTCCAGGTTTTCCCACTCAGTTCACTAGAGGTCACACCTTGTCGGAAGTACACCGCCCGATCCTCACTGCCGATAGCCAACACCTACACATAACAGCAGTGGCAGGTTGACTTAAATATGTTCACACCCCATGACTTGACATTAAAAGTAAACCAGCAGAGAGGAAGGCACTTGATGGGTTACTTCCTAACAGTTCACCTGATCATTGAGTCCTACGTTGATCATGATCATTTCTCCCACCATGCTGATCCAGCCAGAGCCACAGGGGTTGTGGGAGTTCACGCCGCGTCTGAACCACACCTGGCAGAGCAGGAGAGTGGCATTTTTTAGCATAAAACAACTGTATAAACTATGGGTAATAACAGTTTAGCCTTAGTTGGAGTAGTATGTTCTCTTTGCAGTCTAATGCAGTTTTCCTGTTTGGCATATTGTGTCTGTGAAAAAACTAACTCTGACGTATATATAGAGCACTTATTTAGCAGCCAAGTCACACTACCATGGTTAGTGCAAGTCTAGCAGAATTTGTATATAGTTTCGTATTCATATAATATATGTGCTTCATTGAAATTGCATAGATATAGTTTAGGTACTATAGCATTAATCTGAAAATGTAAATAAAAACTTATGTTTTATATGGGAATATTTAATAATAGGTCATAAACAGTTAAGATAATGTATGATGGTAATAATGATAAACAAACAAATAGAACAGTACTTTTTTACATGTTTGCAGTAGTATTCCAATCATATGTGTCTTTAATAATAACATTAATTACAGCATTTTCTTACTTTGTTGTCCTTGGTCAAAGCCCAAACAACATTGACTCCCACAGCTACATGTGTGGCTCCTACATCAGGACTGGGAGAGTCTACCATGGCCCAGGAGGTACCTGACATGCAGAAAATATAATTCTCAATAAATGCGATCACACACAAACCACACCCGCCTCCTAACAGTGAGCTGGTGTACCTTTGGGGCAGTCTCGGCCGATGCCCTCCCTGACAATGAGTTGCCCCTCCCACAGCACCGCCCAGACCAGATCCCCTGGGCCACAGCTGATCTGGACCACCTCCCCAGGGAGAGGCACCTCTTCCCACAAAGAGCCTTCAGGATTGTGGTGATAGATTCCCTCTCTGAACCACACCTGGACGGAGAGAACAGGAGGGTTAGTTAATTGACGGGAAGGGATCTGCATCAAGCAGTGCGAATACAGTTGTTGTTTATCTGATGTGACAAGACTGAGTGTGTGATCTTGCTACGGGCATTAACAAGGTCAAAACACATCCTTGGAATATATATATATAAAACACCATCCTAAAATGCATTAGATGAGCCAAATGAATTACATGAGATACAGTGAATAAAAGGTTCTATTTTACAACAAGACAGGCTTTATAAGCTTATTTTGCCTCTATCAACTACGCTGTATTACTGTATTGATTGAAGAATATTGCTTTTACAGTGACAAATACCAGAAAATGTGTCATATTATGCATGAGTGAACAGGAAAATATGGTTTACCCACACTGTTACTGACTTAATGTGTGAGTTAATTTTAGTTAAGACTTGAATACATTGCCATGGATACCTGAGGCTAAGTGTTGCGTGAGTGCGTGTGTGTACCTTGCCCTGCAGGGACACAGCCCACAGTGACAGCCGTCCTCTGGGCTCCTCATTGATCTCCCAACCGCCACAGCTGATGTCGCTGAAGGGATCTGGTAGAGTCGTCTGCTGTGAGGGGATCTGTCAGCGCACACAGGAAGAGAGATGAAGGTGAACAAACTGAAAGCTTTACCCGCCCGCCCACACACACACACACACACACACACACACACACACACACACACACACACACACACACACACACACACACACACACACACACACACACACACACAGCATAACACCCACCTTAGCCCAGGTATCCATGGCTTTGTACCTCCTGTAGCGGAGCCATCGCCTGCGACGGACACAGGAGTTCCACTTCTTGTCTTTGGTGTAGGTGGCAGGGAAGTCAATGGCGTAGCTCCACCCCTGCAGATACAAACACCTCAATCGCTTAAAAAAGGCAGGAATAAAGTATGAAAAAAGACAGAAATTGATCCTCAAATGAGGAGATGCAAGTAAAACAATAACTGGACACTCACCTCTTTCTCTGTGGGCTCTCCCTCAAAGTTTTCATCCACGTACCAGTCACCCTCCCACTCCCAGCTGCTGGAGGGAAGCCGGAAGTTGTCCAGAGGTTGGTGTTGCAGACCCGTGACATCACTCAACTGCCAGCGGTCGCTTGGCAACAAACGATCCGAGAAACCATCGACAGGATTCCATCGCTGACGGAAATACAGACAGACGGGGAGAGATGGCATGTTAGAGCGCACACAGGGCCAAAACAAGCAAAGTAAAACACTTCACCACTCCCAGTTTCATCGGTCTGAAAGATTTGCTGCCAAACAGCACTTTTGGTGACATGTAGAAAGTCACAACAACAGCCACTACAGAGTACAGACCGAGTATTGACCTAATGCACATGACCTGACACAGTCCAAAACGTTTGCAATCATTCACAGGAAGCATGAATCTCATCTGTATTTTTTTCAGTTCTACATACAGTATCCCTCTCACTGTATCTGCTGTTTTACCTAAAAACTGGTTCAACATGCTTCTAATGTACTTGTAAAGGCAGCCAGCTGACAATGTGCTGAAGTTAGTAACAGAGGAAGTGGGACATTGCTGTATGAGGATGTTGCACTTAAAGTAGCACATGACCCAAGTCCAAGAGGAACTCCACATTTTCAATTTTACTTTGGATGCTTTATACAGGAAATAAAGGATATTAGCGTGTTTTAAACTTGCATAGTGAGAAGAAATACCATGCCTTGTTCCCTTGTGTATTTTTAACCTTGACTCGAATAAGCATCTTCTTACTAAAAACTTTTTCCCCCATAAGTGAGCTCTGTGTAAACAATGACACCCCAATTGGTGGATGAGACCCACTTGATTCTCGTAGGTCTCTTCCTGGTAGCGGACCGGCAGGTCTGAAGCGTGGACATTCAGGTATATGTTATTGTCACAGGCAATGCCCCAGCAGCACTGCTGAGCTGCCGTCACCCGCTTGAACTCCATCTGGGCATCACGGCACTGCTCCCACTGCTGCCCTGCCGTGGACAGGCTGTAGACCCGCCCGTACACATCCACCGCCCATAGCAGGGAGACGGGCATGGTTGCACTGGGAACCTGGGGAACAGGAGGAGAGTGGGTCAAGGTAGATAATGTAGCATTAAAGTTACACAATGTTTTTTTGTATGACAATATCAGTTTCAGGTATATAATTTGTAGCTGTTTGTTCAAGTATGTCATTATCCAATATTATTTATAGGTGCATCATTATAGTATATCAGATTAAATTATTCAGGAGGTCATGTGAATAATTTTATACCCATTTCCAAATGGTATCTTGGATCTGAAGTATGAAGTAAAGTTCAGAGGGTTTTATAAATGGACCCAAAGGTTGGTAAGCAGGGTTGAAAATTAGGAAGGAAAGAGAAATAATTATGATGAAGTGCAGTGTGTTACACGAATATTCAAAGTGGTAGGAGGAGAAAAGAACACACACACACAAAAAAAATTCTCCCGATGACCCCTGCAGCTCAGAGGTCATCAGGAGAAATCATGGTATAAGACATTAATGCACTCAAAGGATGCATGTGCAGTGTTTACAAGCTGTTGTCAGAAATTGCCTTTTTTATAGCAGATATTCTGACTTAACAAAGCAGGAAAATCACAGGCGTTATTAATAACATCAACAATGACTTTGCTCTATTTAAGGGTCCCAGTAGGCCATGACAGTCTGACAGTGAGCCAGCATTAATAGACCTTTTTCACAGCAGCCATTTTGACATGAAATAGTAGCATAAACATAAATGTTACCAATGATACTAATTAAGGTTTCTTTCCATTCAGGTTAAACTGAGTCAGGGTGCTGCAAGTGTGCATGTGGCTCACTGGTAAGGCTCTGCTACACTAAAGGGAACTGAACCTCCTAGTATCATTGATAACACATGGGTTTAACCTACTATTTCATGTCAAAGTGTCATGGCTGCTGTGAAAAAGGTCTATAACACTGAAGCAGCTAAATGGAATTCAGTCACGGAACATTTTATCATTGCTTTTCCAAAATGTCCAAATGTCCTCTGTGAAAAAGGCCTGTGTTTATCCACCAACTTTATCCAAATGCACAGACATACGTATACATACATACACAGCACAGTGTGTGTGTGTGTGTGTGTGTGTCTGTGTGTGTGTGTGTGTTATAAACAGCATGTGAGTTTGCCTGTATAACTTGGTTAAGCAGTAGCTCCCACTTTAAAACAGGGCTGTCCACACTGATTAGTCTCATGTGTTGTGGTGGCACAGGTCCATGCTCACTGTCTTTGTTTACACCACTTTTTGCTCCACTTGCTGTGCACGTTATTGACCCATACTCCACGTCCCGGACAGCATTTAAGCAGACATGGAAAATGTGAAACGAGACTAAATTGAGTAAACAATGCAACGGTTGCTAAAAGCTTGTTAAAAGCTTGCTGCAAGTGGTCTCCATTTCACAACACTGCGTAACCGGCAGAGATGCTGCTTCTGCTAAAAGGCGTCTCCTCTGTCACCATTCAGTATACCTCACATTCAGCTCATATAATGATAATAATAATAATAATAATAATAATAACGACACATACGTACACACACACGGTGGAATTAAATAAATAATTTAAATTAACCACAATATAGGTTTGTTACTGTATAACAAGGTTTGTAGCTGCATTTTAGCACTGTGTCAACGCCACGAGCTACAAAGGAGCCTCGGTGGCTAATGTACTGCAGGTGTAAATGACAGGAGAGTGAAATATAAGCTGTAATGCTCCTCACAAACGTACACCGTGGACTAAAACCAGCTTTAGGCTTTAACGGCAACACTCAGCTTGCTTTTGGTGCAGGCTTACAGGCTTAGTCCTCTAGAAATAGCAAATTAACAGAGTTCAAACACACCAACCTTGAGCTTCCTCTCATGGACCGTGAAGAGGCGCAGGTGGGATGTCACCGCCGTTCATTCAGAAAGTGGAAGTGACTGTGACAGCTGATTCTAGATCATATTGGGTATGGTACCAGCTGATTTTCCACATCAAATGTCTTTTCCTACGTGAAACAGGAAGTGCTGCTGTTTCTTCGTTCCTATTGGCTGTTTCCTGCAGTGTTTGTAGCTGTATCAGTCCAGCAGGGGGCGCTGCTGCCTCAGACTTCAGAGCAGAAACTGAAAGTAAACAGTAGAAAGTAACAACCACTGTACTGTATCTAAGTACAATTGTTAGGTACTTGTACTGTGTTTGGGTATTTCCAATTCGCAGTCATTTATACTACTGCTCCACTACATTTCAGAGGGTACCTTTTACTTCACTACATTTATCTGACAGCTATAGTTATTAGTTATTTTATTTAAGAATGATAAAGTTGTACCTTACACTATCCTGCAATAAAAACTATATTTTGCTAGTAATACTTGCTTATACTCAGTAGGAATTTTGAATGCAGGGCTTTCATTTATTTAATTACTTCTGCCATCATGCTCATGTTTTATAAAGACATACAAAAAAAAACATTTCAATAACAGGCCAGCATCATTATCATCATCATAGAAATGTGGATCATATAGGCCAGGGGTCTCAAGCTCAGATTACCTGGGGGACACTGGACAGGTTGTTCTCTCCTGAATGGATGGGGCTGCCTGAAAGGTCAGAGGTAAAAAAAAAAAAAAAAATCTACCTGTCATACTGCACTGAACGTCTAGTAGAGATTGTTTTCTTGGAGAACAACAGCTGATGACAGGAGCAGTTATAATAAAGTCCATGGTAAAAACGATCAGCTGGTCTCCTCGCTAACTGCCAGTACTTAACCTTGGTTTTAGGCTTAGAAAGAGTTGCATTTGATCCTGCTGGTTTCAGACCCCTAATTTAGGCACTCCTTTCTGATTATTACTTACACAATAACTTTGTCAGTTAGTCTCCTTTTTACATATTTTTATCCAACTTATCTTTGGATCCTTTGTGTGTAATCTAACAGCCCTTAGTGTTTATATATCTCTCTGTTTCTCAATAGTCTTTATACAGTCTGTATATTTAATGCATGCATGGCAATTGGTTGATAATATTCAGCTTCTTCTAATAATTTTCATACCCACGTCTTTCACAAAATAAACACCTACATGAGAAAGCAACATTTATCACATTATAAATCACCCTTGAACCTCAGCTGAGTGAAACATAAAACAACCTCTTGCAGAGGCCGGTGAGACAAAAACAGAAAACACAATTGGACATAAATTATGCAAACTTTTACTGGACTCTACCTTGTTTTATTGAGAAAAAAAGACTACATTGGTCAACACAGTGGCAAGGTACTCTGAAGAAAGCATGAGGCAATAACTATGTCAGTATGATGGGTTCACTTACACACTTAACATCAGTGGGTCTATGAGGATCAATAAACTGTTTCACCAATCATTTCCTCACCATACATTTACATTCTGTAAAGCAAATACATGGCAGAAGTCAGTTCCTCAAGAAACAGTTCATACTGTTAATTTTAAATAACGACCCACTTTATTCATACAATACAAATGTCTAACAGTAAAGAACATTTTTATTTTGCATAAACTGTGCATGGTACACAGAATCTACGTTAAACAACAGGAGTGAAAAATATTTCCTTCATCAAAAGGTAATTTTGCCCATTTAAAATACATACCAGCATTCAAATCAAAATCAGTGTGGGATCATCAGCACAGTGGCTATTGTATTCAAAGGGGCCCCTTCACAGAATGGACTTCTGTATACATATTTCATTTAAATATCTCATACAAACTTACTGTATATAAATAGCCTTCTCATTTTAAACAGTGACATACTGTTTTGCCTTCACTCAAATGACAAACCCTTTTTCCCAACACGTCACTCTCCCTTCATTCTCACAACCTTAGAATATCACAATTTCTCTTAAAAGAAAGACAAATAATTAATAAAAATAGAAATAACAATATATTTTTCAGCAAGTCAGGAAGATAGCCTGGGTTGTCTTTTTCCATCAGCATCAGGTCACTATTGTTAACATCTAGATCTCATCATTCTGTATTTAAACACTGCACTGACTGCTGCACAAATAAACCAGAAAAGACCTCAAGACACTGTCTGAGCATCCATTGTCCTCTTATAGAAACTATCTGAAAGTGACAGTTCACCCCAAAATGAAGATTCAGGTTTCATCACCTTGTTAGCATACCGGTAGAAACTCCACTGGTATTTGTAGGACCATTAGATGCACAATAGCTTAATCTCAGCCTCGTATTACAATGCTGAAGGAACTACAGCACATAGCTAGCATTAAATGCCACCCCTCCCCTTTTTTTGTAATTGTTTGTCTACAAAACAGTTGAATCATGGTGGAAAGATATTCTGTCTAAATTTTGTAAAACTGGAAAGACTGGTTGAAACAAAAGTATTTTCTAGTTTGAATTACTTCCTGAAGTTATAATCCTCAAGATTTTCATCGGTAGTGGTGGAGTCCGCCACTCCCGTGCTGGATTCCAATTGCCTACCAATGCACGGGGGATTCACAGGAAACAGTGTATGCCAGTGCAATTTTATCTCATTGTTATCAGCCTCATTGTTCATTGTCTTTACACTGTATAAGAGTTATATTAAGTTTTGTTTGGTCTATGTGATGTCTTATCTGTATTAAGCGACTGCCAAAGCACAAGGTGGCTTTAATTGCAAAGCAGCCACAAGCAATGCAACATATTTTTAGATCTGATTACAACTTTCAGTGACAAAGTCTAAATTTTCATTTTGGGGGGACACTTTTTTTCACATAAAATAACTCTTTGTGCAACAAAAGTTTTCAGAATTCCTGCTTTTCCATGTATTGATTATGCAACATGTCCCTGTTGTGGCTAATGTAAAACACACACTTGCATGGTAAAACTTTCTGTGCCAAAAACAATGGATCCCTTTAATAGAGCAGACTGGTACTGAGAGAGACTAGCATGCAGGCTGGTGAGATGTCAGGTTGGGGTGATATTCGGTGTGTCGCAGGGGTCCCATGTTGTATGATTCCCCTGAAGGCATGACAGCGGTGAAAATCCTCCTCCTCTGTGTTAGATGACTGGCGCTGATCTGTCATGCGTGACAGTTGGTCTCAGCTTGACCGTGGCAAACGGATTCCCTCCTCTGTGGGCAGGAAAAGGGGAAAAAATCATAATGCTGGTATAACATCTTTAAATTTACCATCAACCAACCTTTAATTATTGACACAACTGTGAGTGTTTGTTAGTTGTGTTAGGTCACTCACCCTAGAAAAGGAGCCTTTGCAGTGACATTGGGTGCTAAAGAAACCTGTTGTCAAAAAACACAGAAGAAAAGACCCTTAAAGATCCAGCAGACAAAGAGAAATAACACACAACATTCAACACACACCACCACAGTCACCACAAACCTACACCCTCCCTCCAGCTGTGAAGAAAGTCAGTGTTGCCGGACTGGTTTGATAAGATTTCTCATCAACAGTTGTCCCCCCTCCTTACTTATAAGCACACTATAGTTTTGACACATACTTACAACCTCAGACCTCAGACTGGAATCTAGACAATCTAGAAAGGCCGGCGAGGGACACACTCCTCTTTTTCTCTCACCTGAGGACGATAATCGTATCGCCTCCACAGAGCCATGTGAGCATGGGGACAATACATTTGAGGAACATAAACCACCGGAGCTATGTTGCCTACAGCACATATATGTTCATTAGATGCTGCAAAGAAAGTTTATAGGGGTGCTAAATCAGATAATATATATGTCAGATGAACTTTAGACAAGTCATGAGTTTGTAGTTCAAGATGTTGTCTTTAGATTAGATACTAAAATGCATTCAAACTAAGATGTTATCATTAATTTTTTTAGTGTGCATGACAAAGAGAAGCTGATAAAGAGAGGTAACTTGCTATAGAAACCTAAATAGATTATATCATTATAATACACCTCTGTTATCAGGTTTATAGGAATGGATCTCTTTGCATTACCCTGCTCTTCCATTAGAGAGCAGACAACATCCAGAAGTCACCGAACATGCACCTACAAGCTGGGAGACCTTTTTGCCCTGAACTATGCCGTTCAGGAAACACCTATTTCTAGATTGTGTTCTGCCATCAACGAACTCTTACATTCCTCATTTGAGAATAAATGATAACATTTCAGCTGAAGCGTCTGTTCATTTCCTGGCTTTAAAAATCTTTACTGAGAACGCTTGTGTTTCCTTGGAAATATAGACATTTCAAGTTAAATTGTGAAAATGTATGCAAAAACATCAACAATTACTTTAGGGTAACTATAGTTTTTATGACTAACAAACACATTGAATAAAAAAACCCCAATATAAGTTACATAACAACTGTACTTGATCAAATCACTGAAACTGATTGAATTTAGGATCCCCTCTACAGAAAAAGGGATTTGAATGCTGCCTGAGAGGCTGAATTCAGGGAACGAAAGTCCCAGAGGGAACGAAAGTCCCATGAGCAACGGTTACAAGGTCCACCTTCGCCCTAAAGTCACAATAACAAAAGTAAAGAGCACAGTCAGCCTTCTGCCAGCTGAACAAATTGTCATAGGGACGATAAGAACTTGTTGTACGTGGCCTTACCAAAGTTTTTGTCCATGTGTTTGAATAAGAATGTTAATGTTTTAATAACATGAGGATAAGATGACTGAACAACACTGGGATTCCTCCTGTAGGTGAAGGTATATCCCTCACTGTGCTTTATTTCATGGTAAAACCCTGAGGCAGCAGATACAAAGGACACAGAGTACAGACAGAGCAGTGAGGAAGGTGATGATGAGGGAGAAAGAAGCATGCCTGGGCTTGTCTGCTGCCTGGACAGCTACTAGTTCATTCTCAATCAGCTGACACAGTGCAGGCACCAAATGAAATTGTGCCTATACCCTTGTGTCCTTTATGCCTTCCCCTGTAACTCTCCTATCCTCCAATCTCTCCATTCCCAAACAAAACCCAGCAAAACCTGGCTGGGAGCATTTTTCAAATGTCTTTTAAAATACATATATTTAATATATTGAGCCAACAACTCTCTGGTCTACGTTGCCTGTTTCCTCTTGATACAGCACTTAAGTCTGTTAACAGTGGCAAAATTGCTAAGAAGCTCATGCAGAACGTTTGCACATCCTTATAGGAAATAATCATCGGTTAGAGGAATTGAGGTGTGTTTCTGGCTCTGTGCCGTTCAAAGGGGCGTGGAAGCGATGACTATGCAGCAAAAAGATTTTTGATAAGAACTAATTACTCAGACTTAAAGTTCCATGTGTGTGATGGCATTTTGTGGTTTAGCTGTTGTCGCTGCTATGGCTTAGGTAAGGCAATACAGATAGCCTATCAGGAAACATAAGACCTTTCCTCGAGCAAGAGATGGCACGCTTCATAGACATTCAAACATGGCAGCTGTCTAGCACAACCACAGTCCTCTACTGTTAGCCATGCAAATTGTGTCAACAATAGCTGTAAAAGAAAGAGGAGTGTATCTGTGTTTACCTAGTTGGCGGGTCAGACACTGCTCACAAACAAATCTCTGAGCTAAAGATGGTAAAGAGCTACCTTCAAAATCTTAACTTTCATAATGATACAATGCACCTCTGTTGGCAGATAATGATGGCAGACGTTGCCTTTTATTCTTTGTCACAAGACTGAGATATTATCGTCTTTTAAGCTGAACTTTCCTATTTACATGCCCAGCAGGTGTGAAACAACATCTGCATTTGAATCATTTGGAGTAATACTCTGGCAACCAGGTGACTGTAATTCCACTATTCACTATCCTTTTAGCTTCCAGCAACTCCTGATGGAAACACCTGGCTAATGAGCTACTAAATGCTCCAACAAGTTCACTGGCTGTTCGCTTGTTTTTCAGCTTGTAGTTATATAAAATACAATGGAAGACTACTTTTAATAAGGAGCATGTTTGTTTGCATTTTATAGCACAGTGCCTCCACATAATAATAAAAAAAGAAACTAACATCCTCATTGGAAAACAAATGATGGCTTAATGGAATAGTCTGAATAATGGCAAGTAAACCAAATCCATAGAACAACTTCTTTTAGCCATAACAACAGGACAGCATCTCATCTCTTCTTACAGGACTCTAAAAATGCTTGAAAACAGCACTCATTTAAATTAAAGTATGTCAGTATATTAGTAGGACAAACTCCCAACACTGAAGCCATGTTAAAGAGTAGTCTGTTTTAGTTGTTATGTACTTGGATTCTGTGTGTTTTGATTTGTGTTCTTGTCTTTTGTCTTTTGGACACAACCATTTGGTTAAAAGGTTTCTTGGTAACAAGGAAATTCAATACCTAGAATTCCCGCAAATATTACAACATCATTACACACAACAAACTGATACCATTTCCACCAGTCAATAAGGCTTTACATCAAACCAAACCATCAAACCACCCAAAGAGATCAAACAGTTAAAACATATAAGGTTATGCTGTTAAAGAGACTTTTTTCATAAAATGTTTGTTAAAAAAAAAAAAAAAAAGCTCTTTCACTGATTTAATAAATATAACAGACAACATGTGGTTGGTGCATGTTGCTCAAGTGCTGGTACTGACCATGCTCTGTGGCGAGGGCATTGAGGGGATCACTGGTTTAGAGGGGGTGTCGTCGCTGTAGTCTGGTGGCGGCAGCAACACCGGCTCCTCCTCCTCCTGCTCTGGCAGACTGGCCACACTCAGACGACGCACCGGTGTGCCCAGATTGCTGCTAGTGCATACGACATAAAAGGTACAACTATCAAACATCAGGTGTGAAACAAATCACAGATTCTCTTCCCGGCATGTTGTAATGTCTCCTTACCTATCTGATATCACCGGCTCAGAATGAGGCCTGCAGTAAGAAGAGGGAAACCAGCCCCGCCTAATGAGAGAGAGACAAACACAGCAACATTTTATATAAACAGTCACATGTTTATTGTTTGTTGATTATTTTGATATCCATTAGTTGTTATCTTCCTGGGGTGCATGTCTACTGTAGCTACAAATGATTACACTGCATGATACCAGAAATAACACACGCTCTTCAAAGGAATAGTTTGAGGGGCGTTTTGGGGAGTACGAGGGAGTTTTTTGCTTGAGTTAGAAAAGAAGATCAATACCACTCTCAGTTAGCTTGAAACAAAGGGAAACAGTTAGCCTGGTTCTGTCCAAAATCAACCAGAAAATAGGCTGATACAGGTTACTGATCTCCTGTTCTGCACAATTAGGTATAGTAGGTAAGTTTCATATTTAGGTAACCCAAATAAAGAATCTCTCCGAGAGTATCAGATGATGTACATCAGTATTTTTCATTATGATAAAATTATATATAATTATCCATGATAAAATAATATGTCTCAAAATCAACTCTGCCAAAATGATGAATGCCACTTTTGAAATATGTTCAGAATCTGACACAGTCACTCTGCAAGAAGATTTCTTTTTGAGTTAAAACTGTCGAGAATCGCAGCCACAGACAACACGCTTGAACCAGATGCACATATCAGACACAGGATATATGACAGACAGACAGATTTTGCTCACTAAGACTCAGAAGTTGCCTCCAAATCACGTCTAGAGAAAAAGATGGCTTATCAGGCCAATGCGCTGGATTTGTTGCTAAGGAACAGAATGTAATGTGATTTATCCCAACATGTCCTCTTCTTGACAAACCGCCACTGACTGCATTAAAACCACTTCAATTCAAAAGACCACTTAATGACACACACACACATGCTCTCACACCCATGGAGCAGATAAGGCTTGCACTAATTTGTTTCAAAGTGGGAATGAAAAAAAATTCGACACAAGCTCTGTAAGCACTCCGTAATCCTCTTGCCTGTGTTATGAGTCCTAATTGATCTGGCGAGGAGCTGAAGATGGCGGTAATTACACAGGCAACTCAGAGGCTACTTTATGGATCTGTGCCGCAGTAGCTACATATACAAACACGACTTGTGTACATTTTCCAATACAACCATTGAGCAGATAAGACACACAAAGCTAACGGGGCAGTGTGTGATAGAGACAAAATTAAGCATTTCTTCATTGTTGAGCGAAATATAAAAGACCAGATGTCTCTTGTTTGTGTGTGTGTGTGTGTGTGTGTGTGTGTGTGTGTGCACCTGGAGTTTTTTCATGTGTGTCTGGTGTTGCTGGGCAGGGCAAGAGTGAGCGAGGGAGAGAGAGAGAGATCAAGCTTTACGACTGTCATGTTGAACATATCTGGCATACTCCGTGTTTCTAGGCATGATGTATTAGCACAGCGAGATATTCACAGACACAAAGCCACAAACAAATGCTGCTCAAGTGAGTTATGTGAAAAACGCCTGTGTGTTAGTGCTGCTGCATATTTGTTGGAATGAAAGTACATTTCCTCTCGTGGGTGTGCCAAAGGTTGTATTTATATTGTATTTAAATCAAGTAGGCTATGTGAGGGAGGGATTTCACAATAAAACTTTCTATTCCACATTTCAAGTTTGTATTCACTTTTAACAAGTTCTGTAAGACTTTAAAAAGCCTATACATCCAATCCAGCTCTTTAGGCTGAAGGTTCAATGTTTGTTATTAAAAAGACCAAAACCCATAATGTGTTAGCCTGTCTCACTGTACTTTCCGTCTTCTCCAGCCTGTCTGTATTTATAGCATTTAAAGCAGCAGGTGTATGTGGGATGGACAAAAATAAACTACATTGTGTTTGTTCATGGTAATGAAGAAACATGTCACCCAGTGAAACAGTGTGGCTCACTGATGTGTTTTTAATGGCTTTAGGACAACAATGGAGCTCTATGGCACAGAAGAATAAACTGTATCACACTTAAGCTGCACAGACTCTCCATAGTGGGTTTTGGTCTTTTCATGGGATTTGTTGAAAAGTATTGAATCACCAGACTTATCCTTTAAAACCAGAGAGGCCGAGATGAACAAAAAGATGGGATAACCATCGATCATCATGAGGCAAAGAACCACCAAAACAAACAAAAATCTTTCATATTTACATTAAAACATTGGAATAAACAGGTTAAGTAAACTGGACTGAGGTGCCATTTAGCCATCCAAACATCCCTGAGTATGAAAATAGTTAAATACTCACTGCTGTGTCCGCTCCAGCTCTCCATAGAGCCAGCCGTCCTTCTCTTCCTGGATGAGCAGGGTGATGATGTCGCCGTCATCGAAGCTGAGGAGTGTGTGGTTGTTGCCCGCCGTATGGGGAAAGATGGTCTTAACTCGAGGCCTCCTGCCCACATTGAGACCGGACGACTGAGATGTCGACCGGGACAGACTGCCCTCCCCGAGACTGCCGCGATCTGGAGGCAGCGGAGGGTCACAAAAACAGAGATTAGAGATCAAAACTCTAAAAATAATCAAAGGTCATTTGTTTTAAAGCAGTAGTTTGACACTTTGGGGTTAATTTGCTTTCTTGCAGAGGCAAGATTGATAACATTATTAAGACTGCACGGTAAATGTGCAGCTACAGCCAAGAGACAGTTAGCTTAACAGTTAGCCTGCTTCTTTCCAAAGCTAACAAATTCCTACCAGCACCTCTAAAGATCACAGATTGTATTACATGCTAAGTTTAAAAATGACAATTTGGGGTTTGTGTGAGAAGATATAATGTGATCTTTGGAGGTTCTGGATTTTGTAATGTTTGCTAAGCTAAGCTAACAGCCAGCTAGCTTCATATTTACCGTACAAATGTTTTTTTGTAGATTTTTTTCATTTAACTGTCCAAGAGTGAATAAGCTCAACAACAACACACACAGTGCTTGTATTTTGACAGAACTTCAAAAGAAGGAACCCATGACATTTTAAAAGTATTATAATATTAATTGTCAGAATTTCACTCATTCAGTTTTCATGAAATATGACTGGGTGATGCATCTTGTTAACGGTCAAACTGGTTTTATTGCCAAGAAGGTTTTTGCATACAAGGAATTTGCTTTGGTGGAGGACTGAGACATTCCACAGTCATTTTTGGGTATATCTATGTATTTTTGCATAGCCTATTTTGCCTGTGTTTCAGAGAAGCCATCTGTACCTGAGCCGTGGTCTGAAGAGGAGGTGAGCGGAGATCTGGGCTCTGGGTTGAACATGTTGGCTAATGGACTGATCTGTGCCTTGAGCTGGGGTGCTGGAGGAGGCACCGGTGACTCCATGTTGTTCTGAGGGGATGAAGAGGAATAAGATTAGCAGTCGCAATATGTGACAAAATATGAGAAATTATAACATTGTGTTTGAATGAACAGGGTGAAGTCCTTATCAAGGCAAAACAGTCATTACTGTAATTGAAACTTATTGTCTCCCTCCTACGCAGCAATAAATAACCAGGGCCAAAAAACCCTCAGTGGACTTTGAAATAACAACACAAGCACATGCAGGGTTTCCCGTGGCTGGTAGCCAGACAATGATAACAAGCCACTTTACACACAACAGCCTCCATCAGATACCAGCACCTTAACAAGACAAACTACAAGCAACAAGACAAGATAAAACACTCCAGGGCCAGTCTTTTCTACATGATTTGTTCCACTTATGCACTATCTGCAAGGCTTTTATCTACAGCTTTTATCTGACGCATCTTACAGTAAGTCAGTGATGAAAAGCAACACAAAAGATAAATAAATACAGCTCACAACAAGCAGCATGAAACCACACACGAGCAGCAAACACTCACCCTGTTGTTGCGCTCAACCTGCGGGGATTGCTCCGGAGTGGTGGACAGCCCCTCTATCATGGTCATCACCGTATCCGGCACCATGGTGATGTCGCTGCATTTTTCCTGCCAGCTGGGGAGCTTCACGGCCAGCATCTCTTTGGCCTGGAAACACCGGAGAAAGAAAAAGAGCAAGGTGTTAAACAGCCTATAAATGGAGGGGTCAGACTATGCAGGATTACCTCTCTGTTCGTGCTTACTTTCTCATGGAAGTTGCTAATTTGATAAGAGAACATGCAGTGTTTGTCTGCCAGGAAACAGAAGCGTCTCTTTTCTTCCAGTAAGGCCTCCCTGCAGCCCTCAGCCATGAACTTCTGCATGTCCACCTGGCGCGATGTGATGGTCTTCATATACTGCAGACAGAGTCGTAGGACGGGGGGGGGGGGCATGGTACAGGGTTAATAACTGGTCAGGTTTCAAATGAGAAATAAAATGAGTACTGTATTCTACTATATTGTATTGCAGGATATCTTCTACAAAGTGCACCAAAGATGAAACACAGAATGGTAGAATGGGCCTAAATAAATTAAATATATATAAAATAAATATGAATAAATAAATGATAATAAAAACATAATAATAAAATAATAATAAAACAGTAAATTAATATATAAATGGCACAGAAAAATACAAATAAATAAATGAAAAGGAAAAATAAAATAAGTAGAATAATAGAAATAAATAAAAGAAAATATCTAACAGGGAAGAAAAGAAACAAAAGAAATAGCATACATACAAATTGTAGGATACAACACAAATGAATACAAATGAAAAAATATATGTATTTATTTATTTCCCATAATTTGTCTTATTTGTCTTCTTTTCATTTTTACTTCACTCTTTTATATTGTAATTAGATTTTTCTACATTATTTGAATTATTATCTTTAATTTTATTTATATATTCATTTCATTTAATCATGTCTTGTTTGTGTCGATCTTGGGCATATTTGTTTATTGTTTTTAATCACATTTGCACACATTTGATAATTATCTATTTCCTTAATGATGTCTGGTTGTTTTCACGTTTTTACTGTAAGACCTTTGGTACTTTTTCACAAGCCTGATGATGTGTTGCTCTTATTAGTGTTAATAAAAACTACCACACACACTTGTGTTTGTTTGATTTTTTGACAATATGTTCATCTTGCAGTTGCCAGCACCTCCTGCTCCGCAGTGCAGGCTGTGCCACAGGGTGAATCTAGAGGGGATCAGATTTATTTGCGTGCTCAGGTCAGATTCACAAATTGAGGTGCTAATGAGCTTTAGAATGAAAGTTTCTCCAATTAGCGACAAGTTAAGTCGGGTCTCCTGTTGCGTGTGGATTGATCTTTGTGCAGCGGAAAACCAAATTAGCTCGCTGAAAAACACACCTTCCCCTCAAAGAGGCTGAGGGCGACTCTGCCTGTCAAGGCGACTGAACCTGACATATCAAACTCTTTAAACTGACTTCTCAACCCACCGCTCCATCCTTTTATTCTACACCCACTCGCCCCTATCTCTCCCATTTCCCCCCGGTTGTCATGGTGACAGAAAAGCAGCCTGTCTCTAAAGGCTCGGAGACCCTCCTCTACTGTCTGGTCTCATTTTTTTCTGTCTCTCTCTTTCTCTCTACAATAGCCTGTCAGAAGCAGAATCAAGACTCTTCTTTTCCCATTTTCACCGCAAACAATCATCCAGACTCTCAGTGAGAGGCGGTGAGAGCAGTGAGCTCATCATTGGCAGCGCCACACATGATTATGAGAAAGCTGAGTAGTTAGCCTCGTCTCTCTTTTTGTCAACCAGTGTCATTTTTTATCAGATAATGAAAAAGCCACTTCCCAGAGAGGAGAGGCCCCAAGTCTCAGCTCAGATTGAGAGCCAGGCTCAGGCTGTTCAAGTGCAAGGGTAAACAGGAGACTGATTCTGACTTTAGCAGCAGAGGGAAAAAGAAACAGCATGCATCTTAACAGCTCTTTTACAACATGCAATCTTTACTTTTTTTAATTAAAGCTTTTGTTATTGTAATTTTCTCGAAACAAGCCAGGCTTACACACCATCCATCATCAAAGTGAGGCCCTGAAAACAGTCGATTAAAATCAAAACTAGAGCCAGACAGGAGTTATTACTCAGGCTATGCAGTCCCTCCTTCATCTCACCACACTGATTTACAAAGCAAATTACTATCTGAGGTGTTAAGACTGCTTGTTGGCAGAAGAACATAAACACCCGACAGTGTGCAACACACTTCAACCAATACACTCAGGGTCACTGAACCACACACAAGCCTACTCAAGTGAGGCAATTTCGACACTGACTTGCAAAACCTCAAAGCTGTGTGTGTACTTCTGTCCATCCAGCAGTGGCACTTGTTTTAGCCACGGTTGTCATTTCAATGTGATTTCTGAGATGTGAGAGATTAGATTTTATGAGACCTCTGCTGTTAGTCCATCTGTAGTCCAGCTCAAGAACAAGGGCTCAATTTAGGAGTGTTGAGTGGATGTTGAAGCCCTACCAGCTCTGTTTTGGCATACAAAACATGCTTATTGCGCCTTCCTTACTATATGTCCTTGGATAATCGAAGTAGTTACACTGGAAATACAAGTCGATCAATTTACCTCTGACTTTTTTTATGACAAACTAAATTTTTGGCTGCCAAGAATTAAAATGGAAAACATACCACTTTACTCTTTATTCCTCTATCAGCTGACCATCCTTACAGACATGTTGTAATAATCATTGGTTCACGCTTATCTACAAAACCTTCTTTGGTCTGTCCTCCCCGACTGCATCTGCTGCCTGTAACACCCACTCTGCTCAACATATTCTGTTGAAAGTGCCCAAAACAAATACTGTATTCCGTCTGCTGCAGCCAAAGACTGAAACAATCTGCAAAAAACACTAATAATGGACAAATGTATCTCCAAGTCAACTTCAAAGACTCTATTAAGGACATTCTCACTGATGCATGCGGCTGTTTCCCAACACAATAATCCTTCTTAACTTTTGCTCTGTCTGTTGTCCTATGCATATTCTTGTTCTCTGGCTACTGCTGTTCCTTGCTTTGTCTGTTGCTTCGTTGCCTGATGCTGTTGCCTGTCTGACGCTTGCGTCTTTTTTGTAATGCCTTTTGTCACATGTAATGCTTGTTGTGATTTTATGTAAATATGCATGGGCGTGATTACATTTTAAATATTTGAGGGATGTGTGCCGATGTTTTTTTAACTTTTGACATTTCTTTTTTAGCCCCTACTCCCTTCCCTCAAGAGTCTTTGCAATTTTACAGCCCGCAATTATACATTTGTTCTTAATGACATGACTGGTTAAATAAAGGTTAAACAAAAAATAAACAACCTAAGATGACCATTTAGTATAGATCGAACAATACAACCTGCATCTCAGCACTGTCTGAAACCGTGTCTGTGCCAGCATACATGTGAGCATTCATGCATATGTTTGTGCAAATCTGGGTGTGTACGCCTTCAATAAAAACACAATTTTCCATCTGTATAGCTAAACGCTGTGAGCCAAGCTATAATGGCCTCCTACATGCAAAAACAGAGAATCTGCAGATGGCTACAGGCGTGGTGGCACCTTTGATGGTTTTAGTCCTTTGTCCAATCTAAAAAAAAAGCGTTTCGTTTAAGGAATTTTGTTTCATCATTGTCTGTCATCAATGATGCCATGCTCTTACGTAATACTAAAGTACAACTGAGAAGCAAAACGTGCTCCACACCACCACTTTACTCTGTTGCATTGGTATGTGATTATCATGAGAACAATCTTGGCCACATCTCTCCACACAGTCACATAAATTGTACACTTGTCATATACTTTTCACTGGCATCAGAGCATAAGCATGCAAAGGCCCCATTGCTCGAAAATCCATACAAAGTATTACACAAGTGAACACAACATTTTGAAGGGAAGGTTGGGGTTGGTTTGGTTTCAATCTCACCTCGTTTTCTTTTATCTCGTACTTATTTGATTGCTTTCCCTGGCTTTTCCTCCTGAGTTTCTTCAGGTCCGTGAGCGAGCGCTCCAGGGAGTCCTGCTTCAGCTTGTGCTCTGACTGATAGCGCTTGAAGGTGGCCTACAGACGTTTGACAAGAGAGGCATAAGTGAAGGGAGGACCAGTTGAGCAGTTTTCATTACACAAACGTTCCTCAGATGCACAGAGGCTGAAATAATCTCTCTATTTGGTTGGTGGGTGTTTGAACTGATGGAAAGAGGGATATATGATTACACTTACGTTCATGTATTTAACATCCATCTCTGTCTTCTTCTCCAGCTCGATAATAACCTCTCTGTGGAACCTCTTTAACTGCGGAAAATGTGAAAACACACAACTCAAATTCATTGCAACATACATCCTGCTGCATGCTCGCTGTTTTAATCGCAATGTACAGTTCAGTCACATGGCTCAATGGCAGCGTTATGATAAGAGTGGAGTGACCTGGTGGAATGTATGATAATGGGTTTCTGAGAGGATGAGATTCCACCCACCAGGGATGGCTTATCAGCCTGTTACGGTTAATGATTTACAACTTCCCCCTCTCGCAGATAAATTCCAATCAGTCTGGGGTAGTCTCAAAGTAACTTGGAGAGAGCTTGTGCTTATTTCTCAAATTTTTCTTACATTAGACTAAGTCCTGTTTTTCAGTTGTTGCCGCATTTAAACTGGCGACAGTTGACTTCGATTTTCTTCTCGTCACCAGCTGGTATCTGAAGCATTTCACCCTGAGGCAGCAGGGTCAGGAATGACTCAGTGGATTCTCTACTTTCGTCAAACTTTCCTTCACCTTTTGTAACAACTATTTCAAACTCTCTAAAATGAAAAGAATGAGCTCAAAAGGTTGTAAAGGTTACGTATAGAAAGGACAGTGTAACAAATGGAAAATCTGTGTCCATTATGTGAAGATAAGAGAGTTAATGGCCATGGGGTACTTCTAGGAATGACAATTTCTTACTCCTACAAGCTCAACAGGTGACCAGTCAATGCACAAAATTATTTTAATGACATAATTGCAACACAAGAAAGATTTAGTCTCTTTTCATCCATCAAATCCATTATGTTCTTCTCCGCACATTATGTTCCTTTTATTCTTCTGATTCAGGACCAGAAATAATGGAGCAAAGATGAAGGGAACAACTTTAAGAGCAGTGGGCTTTGCTGAGAGAAGGCATTCAAAATCAAGGCTGGTCATATTCTTTTTTGTACTGTCAACAAAAGACCATGGAAAGACCAAAACCTACAATGTGTCAGTCTGTCTCTCAATACTTTCTGACTTCCATGTCTAAGGCTCTCAGCCCTAAGACCATGCCACCAACAGTGAGGCTCATTTATGTGATTTTGAGTTTATGGACAATAATGGAGGTTGATGGCACAGAGGAATGAGATATATCAGGCTTTGGCTACACAACATTTTTTTTGTAAGATCAATTCGTTGCTGGTTTTGGTATTTTTATGGGATTTGTTGACAGTAAGAAAAATATAGAATATCACCAGACACACTTTAAAGCTACTCACGTTCTCTTCCAGTTCATTGTGGACGTTCCTGTGGACCTCTGCTATCTCCATCAGAACCACACCTAGGAAAACACCAGGAACGACTCTTAGTATTTCAGAAATCATTACAAAGAAAGAGAAAACTGTTCTGAATGTATGGCCCCTGAGGTTTTGTGTTATAACCTCGGTAAAGAGGAGTTAAAGCAAATACTTCAGGGAAAACATTTATTCGCTTTCTTGCAGAGAGTCACAAAAGAAGAGTGATATCACTACAGGAAGTGACTCCGCCCGGGCAAAGAAACAGAGCGGCACGCAACCTCCTGTTAAACCACAACGTGTTGTTTTTGCACTTTGGTTTTTGAAAGGATTAAACAAACAAGATATAATGTTATTGAGTTAGATTAAGGGGTGCTGGTATGTGGTTTTGTTCCCTTTGTATAGAGCCAGGCTGGCTGTTTCCCCCTGTTTCTAGTCTTTGTGCTAAGCTAAGCTAACTGGCTGCAGCTTCATATTTGCAATACAGACATGAGAATGGTATTAATACTTTTTGTCTTATGAAAACTCTAAGTCATATCATATGAGTGTATGCTCTTAGCCTGTTAATAATAGTGTTTGTGTACAATTGCATGTATTATGAATGTGTCTGTTGGATTCTTCATACTACATTGCTGTAATTATTTCTTGTAATATGCCACTTTTATATGCAATTCTACTTCACATTCTGTTGCCATTCATATACTGTATTTGTTTTTTATATGTGTAATTAAACAAACAAAACAAATACTCATATCAAACTCCAGGCAAGAAAGTGTATTTCTCAAAATGTTGACCTATTCCTTTAAGAAACCAAACATCCGAAAGCCGTGTACAACAGAATGCAGATTCAGGAGCAGATGTAATGATGTAAGAACCCTCAACAATAAACACTTTCCAAATTTCCTGTATAAACATAACTAGTTTTTTATAAAGCCTTGCATACATCTTTGCAGCTCATATTTTACCGATGACTTATCTCCTTTCAATATTTGAACAACTGTCAATAAGTAATCTCTATGAAACATTCTGGTATTGTGTAGTCAGATACAGAACAGTCTCCATTCACAGACAGGCTACAGCATGGATAGAGCAGCATATGACACGAGACAATGGGAGTGAGTCAATACTGTAAACAGAAGTGGACAGTCATAGCTAAGCAGTTTATAGTGCTACCTCTGTCACAATGGGGTGAAATCTAGACTCAAGGTTTACTATAGGACACACAGTGTTCTGATCCTGTAAAAACAGTGTGGGACATCGTATTCGGACATGTGACAGAGTCACTGTGAGGGAAAAGAGCAAAAGTGAACAACCTGCAAGAATCTCAACACCTTCAGAAGATAGTTAACAAAGCACAGGTGTTGGGTTCACTTTGTGATTTTTAGGTGAAAATCTGTAAAAAAGATGCCTATGTAAGCACACTCGAACACCTGAACACCTCATACACGTTTGACCCAACCTGACATTCCTCCCTGCACGCCTCCACTCAGAACAAACAAACGTAATGACCAGCTGATACAGAGCTGCACTTCTGTGATCCAGCGGGCAGCGTCCAGCTACAACAACATTGCCCTCTGAAGGTCACCAGAACGTACTGGTAAATGCTGCCTTTGTGCTTCCGCGGGGAGGGGTGGTGCTGGCTCGGGGGGCTGTTTGTACAGCCCCAACAACAGCCTGCGTGGAGTGGAAGGGGGAGGCTGAGAAAGGCACGGGATGGAGTTTAAAGAGACCGTTGTACACCTGCAGGCTTCACCTTTGGGGTTAACAAGGTGTGAAAGCCTGCCTGAGGGACAGTACATGCTACAAAAAGTCATCACAACTTGGTATATATAGACCATATGGTGAACGATGAATCTGTCACATGAAAGACTGAAGAGGGTGAACTGGAGTTGAGATGGACAGAATACAACATTGCGAAGAAGTCAGAGAGCTGACACTTGTAGGCTTTCTCTCTGAGGAAATAAGATGTGAGAGCTGAGGTGTAAAAGTGAAAGTAAAAATGGATTCTCTCTAGCTAAAGTGTGAATAATGGAAAAGAAGCACCTGGCAAGACATGGTTTTTAGCATCTACTGGGCTGAACTGGACTGCTATTCAAGTTCATCACATTAAAAGAACAACATCATGGGATGGCTTTTTCTCAGTTTATTTTATCTCCAATCTCTGTTCCTGGTGATTTGTTCTCTTCTGAAGATGTTAAGTTCTACAATAATCTAATCTCACATCAACGATTTCAAATATACAACGCCATGTTTTAGGTTGGTAATGGTTGATAAAAGATACCTGTGGAAAACTACGCCATCCACAATTCACTCACATGACTTGTGAGTCATTATTACGAACACTTTGTCTATTCTCTCCTCCACTTCCTCATCCAACACTTCATAATCAGTAGTAGAAGTAATGTAAACTACTTCAGATACTGTAGCTCACTAGATAAAATTAACTTTGACTTTTTTATCCAATGCATGCAGCTTGATAGCCTGAGCTTTAAGAGGGGGGGTTAAAACATTCATAACCCAACTGCTGTTGACTACAGGTCAAAGTGAAGGCCGAAAAAGTGTAAAAAGAGACGACTGAAAAGTATTTTCTTTTGGTCCTGTATTAACTACGTTAGTAATTCACTTGGCAATACCTGTATCAAAATGCCTGTTTTACAAAGCTGCTGATAAAATTCAACAGGTGATGCCATTTATGAGCTGGGAGTGCCCTGTGCCAACACAACTCATGCCTATTTGGTGTTAGATAAGGAAGCTGTACAATATGACATGACGTTGGCAGGGCAAACACTGGCAGCTCACCTGTTGGCACCTTTTCTCTGGCTCACCTTTATTTCACCACTTTAACTGATAATCCTTCCTCTGTTGTGCAAGCGACATCTGAGCTGAACTAAGTTGGTCATAGCCTTGTAAGCGAAGTTGTATGCATCACTCAGGTTATTCACGCAGACTTCTGAACACTGACACTGCTCCTCCTATGTGACTCAGGATCGAATGGTATCTAAGTTATACACATTCCAGTGCCGGTACAGAGAGACTGTGTGGGGGTTGCATGGATCAGAGCTACACCCTTGCATAAATGATGTCATTATGTGTGACTGTGGTCTAAATCCAAAGTGGTAGAAACACAGGGAGAGGTCACCGTGGTGTTCATTGTGACACAAAATGATCCAAAAGAATTCCTGGGAATGCCACTCCTCTACAGAGTTTGTATTAAACAACCAACAACCACTGCGTACATCAAAAGCTCAAGGGTAAAAAAAAAAAAAAATGTATCCACAATTTAATGATCACTGGGCAAACTCTATCTGCTGATGAAGATCATGTGATATGATCAAAAGCTCAGGAATGGCTAATTCATAGACCTTGAAGCGACATTGTTTTGTCAACATCAACTGCATAAACTGCCATGCCAACTAAAGGCAAGGCTGCATTGTTCAGTTTCTAAAGCTGACAATTGGTAGATACAAACACTCAATCGATCGATTGATCAATCATTAAACATAAAAGCCCAAGGCGACATCTTCACATGTCTTTAAACCAAAAGTTGCCAAAGAAATGCAGAGAACACTCTGTCGGCATTATTACCAATCAAATCAACCACCTTGAATACTGATAATCGGTTTATCACTCTAATGATGATCAAGAGCGACCTTTTTTGGTTTGTATTAATCTATTGTTTAGTGATTTGAGAATCTACTGACATTCAGCATGTCTACTGTGTTTCCTACAGATCAATAGCTAGGACAGCTTCCTTAACATAGAGCGATGACCTGCCATCACACACAGCACATACCATCTTTTATTACTAGAACACATAAAACTAACTGCAGCCGCAGAGCATCAACAATAAATCTCAATTTATAAACTGAAGGCAAACCTTAAGTAACCTTAAAAACGGCATGTATGCTTCGTATGCTCTTTCTGTGAAGAAAAACTAAAGAACAAGGTGGTTTAAAGGTTTTATAGTCAATGATTTCCACTAAATACTTTTTAAAATCTTTAATAGCTGATAAACGACTTCAGGTGCAGAGCAAGCAAAGGAGGGGTCACAAAGAATCATGGGGTATTTCCGTGAAAGGACTGAAGTGTGACGGGGTTTTAGATGCCCCAGCGTCACAGTTTATTGAGCAGTAAGTGAGTCTCTGGTCTCTTTAGAGGTCCCTTGGAGGAAACTCCCAGTGCACTGGAGAGCCTTTAGTTTAATGGTGGATTCGGGACGAGGGTGTTTGAGGTCTGAGATCATTAGAGAGCTGTGGAGTGTGACGAAAGGAGTCATAACTGACTGAACAATGAGTGGACTCTTTGAAAACAACCTCCACCCTCCTCTATTTTGCTTGTTTTCATCAGTCTATGCCTCGTTTGGAAAAAAAAAAGTCTGTGTCTGTGTGACTGGTCCAGCTGATTGTTCTCAGCATTTGCCCATACCTCTCATGATCAGTAGAGCTGATAAGCCTAATGGTGGTTTAAAGAAATAGTTCAACATTTTGTAAAATATTCATTTTCTTGCCGAGAGTCAGAGAAAAGCAACACCACTGACACACTTACATCTGTACGCTAGGTATGTGGCTGGACAAACAAGACCGTTAGCTTATCTAGGCGTAAAGTCTGGAAGCAGAAGGACACAGCTATAGCCTCTGTCCAAAGTTTTAACATTTCTTTACACATTTTGAACAAAAACGTGTTAATAATTTAGAATAGCTGATTAGCAGATTTTTTCAGCTTTGGACGGAGCCAGGCTAGCTGTTTCCCCCTACTTCTAGTATGAGTCATCTTATCTAACCCATGTTGAAGAAAGCGAGTGAGTGTATTGATCGATTGTAAATGTCGAACTATTCCTCTAATGAAACTCTGGAGTATGTTGCATGTTATTACTCTAATTAGCCTAGAGGGGGCACTAAAATCTTATGTCACATACATCATCTGAGATAAAAAAAAATAAAATAAATTTAAATGTATAAATTGTGCATCTTGTTGGTTTTAAGAAAAGGTGAAAATAAAAAAATAAATAAAAAGAGACCCCTATTAGCCTACAGGTCTAAACAAAGAGACATTCTTTATTGCTCGAGGACAGCAATATTCATGATGGAGACGTGCATTGTTATTGATAGTGAGCCTGTTCTTCCCTCTAAAACAAATTAAATAAACTATGTTGCCAAGTTTTATGGGCCAAGACAGATGAGTCCGTTCCAGGTGTTCTCAGACGCAAAATACAAAGCAGGGAGAAAAATGAAGGGAGGTGTACCTTCACTGACTTTTGGAAAACATTTATGGTTCCCTGATGCTTCTGGTGAGGATGTCTGTAATGAAAGATAAACTGCCCACCATGTAGCTTACTAATGATAGAGGCAATACCGTGTGTTGTGTCTAGAGAGTAAAACGGGCCCATGAAATAGCTTTACGCCAGATGTTTGAGATGTCACAAACTCTTATTAACCATAACATCATCCTCCGTTCAGAAGAAATGGCTGCTCTCGACAGCTAAAACTGCTGCAGAAGCTATTGGCAGGAAACACTCTGAATCCTAAATCTCTGGGGAGAAAAAGATCGCTCCGGCTGACATTACCATTTTTCTCATGCTGACTACTTCAATATTTCAAAAAACAATTTCGACTGAGGCACAGAGGAAAGGTGGAAGGGGTGGGGATCATGTTATTCTTTCTACTGTAACATTTTCAGTCCCTCACTACCTGCTGCTTTTCAGAGTGGAATGGCAGCTCCAGTCATGTGCTAATGCACAGGAAGTTTCTAATTGTACACCCACTGAAAACTATGACTTTTAAATAAACAGACTGATGTATGGCACACCAGCTGTTATAGATTAACGTAATCATGGGCAATTTCAAATGTAGAACTAGCTTAATAGCTGTGGTCTCAAAAAGTAATGGCACATACATTTTTCTTACAAATTTTCTTGAGACAGTTCCTTTACGACGTCATGTCTCCAAGTGAAGTCTGTGTTTCTGTTTTACTTTTATGGGAAAAATAAAAGGTATATCCATGCTAAAATGTAGCCAAACAGTAGCACAATTAGCAAAAAAGTCAGTCAAAGCAAGTCAGCAAACAGACTCAGTAATGAGAGTCACAAAGCTATCTCTCTTACTTCAGCTAACATTAGCCACCATTAGCTAGTGGTTACCAGCAATTGCCAGACCATGTAAAGCAGCAAATCCCAAGAATGTATTAAATCTATTAAGTTTTACTGCTTATCGATTCAACTTTAAATTTGTGTTATTTCTACTTTCAAGCGTATATAGTAGTACACTAAGGAACATTTTTGAACCGTTGGCATTTTCAAATATTTGGAGTCACTTTGAGTTAGTGGAGGAAGTTATTAACTGAATAACAGAAAGTAGAACATGGGAGAACATCTCATCTAAGGGTTATCAAGAAGGTGGCTTTTATTGTAACTTTTGCAGCATGTACCATAAGATGTAACAATTTCTCAAGCATGTTGATGTTTCTTTTAAGTCGACAGCACCGATTAGAGGCTTTCACTCATCTATCTGACTTCAAGCACTTGTGGCGTTTGACTAAAAGTCTTATTACAAGTACACTTTCACCTCCATTATAGCATCAATCTGAAAGAGGAAATGTGGACAAACTGTAGTCCTGAAAAAAAAAAAAGGGAGGAGCGCGGTATCAAGTAAAAGCCTTAGGTAACTTTCTGCAAATACCTGCCAACCACTATGACGCAAGTGCTTTTTACACCACACCATTCACAGAGGTGGGTCTGTCATTCTTGACGGTGGTGCCGTTTAAAGGAGAGTATGCTTAATTCTTTGACTCTTATGCCTATATCAACCACCCGAGTGTCAGTGACGGAGTAAATGATTAAAGATTCACTTGAGGCAATAAGAAGCAACTGTAAATCCTGTCGAAGTATTTACGGGGAAGGAACGGTTAGGTCTGTAGTTTCTGACACTTCCACCATTGTTTAACTCAGTTTTATGTCTTTTATTTTGTCATATTATACCAATAAAAAAAGGGACAAAATGAAGAAACTCGAAAATATTTCCATATAGTTTAAGTCTCCCCTGGCCTCCACAAACAGACAGTAAAGACTGGTGGTGGGTTTGGTGAGGCAGATGGAGGAACAGGGGATGAGGAGGATCATTGGTGGGAAGACAGTCTCCTCTGTCTGTCTGTTTATTCAGCGTGTTTGCTACTCTGCTCCCTGCAATGTGTGAAAGAATTCACACTGTCTCGTTGTCGTCTAGACTTCATGCGCCGTTTTACTAGAAGCCATTTCAATGTTGGAACGGGTGTCAAATGAAGTGACAAGATTGCAGCATCTTCGAATCTAATACATTTAAATTCATGTATTTTTGTCCAGAAAGGCAATCAATGTTAAAGCTACAAACCTTTCACATGCTCAAAAGTAAAGATGGCGGAGCATCTGGTGTGGCACTTGTTTTTGGTATGCAGTGAAAACGTCAAGACCGTGTAACATGAACATATTATTTAATGAAGCGATGAAGTGTTGGCATTGTTAACTGACAGGTGCAGGTCTGACAAACTCGATTAACATTGCGTGACAGCAGTGTCTGGAGATTATCCTCAATCACAGTAAATGTTTCACTGCACTCTACCAGACAGATAGAAAAAATAATATCATCATTTGCAGATTTCCCTGTTTCTTTGGTTGTGGTGCTAATTTGCAGGTATAATTTTTTTTTTATCAAAGCCATGGGGAGCAACTGGAGATGGGTTACAGATGCTCCAGAGCCACAGGTTGTCTACACCCAAATGTATCAAAACCTGCTCAGTTTACATTTTATTCTAGTAAGTAAGAGTGGTCAAGAAAAAGCCAAAGTGATACCTGAGAGTCTGGATTTTTTTTGTCTAAAATGTTATGAAATGTGTTCTTCATGGTTTCATTTTCATCTCTGCTCTAATGTTTGGCTATGCTGCTTTTGTGTTTCACTCACTTCCTTATTACTTTATTTACATTTTCACCAAATGCGACAGACACACCTAGTCACGTCTCTTTCACACAGTGACAGCTCGGTGACGATCGCGGCAACAAGCCTGGCATGTCAACAGACTTTGTTTATGACAGGAAGTAATGCAAATGCCATCTAAAGGAAGGGAAAATATGCAGCTATTTTTCCAAGACATGTGTGGTGATGTAAATGGATGTAACGTTCCCTGTGGTCCCAGTTTTCCTTTAAAAGGGCTAGATGACAGAGCATTATCTTGCCATATTTACTGCTCTACTCTGATTCCCTGCCTGTCACAGCAACCTGAGCTTACATGCGGCCAATTTATAAAGCCAGCAGGAGTGACGCAGCAGAATACAAAAAACCAACTTGAATTGTAATGGCAGGGAATTAGGACCCCTGTACAAAGTGGGTCAGCTCCAAATTTTAGCACTAATAGAATAATTGGAGATGAGTCACAGAATGGATGAAAAACAGCCTATATGGCAGCCTCAGAGAGGAGACAGATGAGAGGAAGCACTTCAATCAGAACGAGGGGTAGACAGCAGACAATAATACATTTCTGCTGCTACTGTGCCACAAGGATTCAATCAATGTTATTTCCAGATGTTTGCATAATTGACTCGCATTTGGGATGATGGCTGCATGCGGGCAAAATACGTCACCGTAATGAAGTTGCATAGAAACTGCATTTTGGTGGTGTCCAGCCTCTGTTGTTTGACAGGATGTTTGGGCGAAACAAGAGCATCTCTCTCAGATTTTGGGAAATACACTTATTTGTTTTCTTGCCAAAGGTTATTTGAGAAGATCAATACCACTCTTGTGTCTGTACGATGCATTTAAGGCTATGGCCAGCAGCCAGTTATCTTAGCTTAGCATAAAGGCTGGAAACTGGGGCTAGCCTGCCAACATGACTAAATGACAATGTATAATTCTTACAAAACAACACGCTGTTGTTGAATGGCGGGTTATGTCATGGTCAAGGTCAGTGCTCTCATTCAACTAATACTCATAAAACCACTAATCCGTGTTTTTACACTTTAGAAGGGATGGTAGTCAGATTTTGTGACCTCTGGAGAGAGCCAGGCTAGCTGGTTCCCCCAGTTTCCAGTCTTTGCGCTAAGCTAAGCTAACCAGCTGCTTACTTTAGATTCATATTAACCGTACAGACATGAGAGTGGTATCTACTAACTATTCCTTTAAGAATTATTCAACAGAAATAAAAGTGAGAAATCAATATCTCCACCACAGAGGCGTTTGAATATGAACATCAGGCAGACCCCCTTGAGATTTCAACCACTGTGGGCAGATCTAACCTGGACTCGCATGAAACTCACCGAGCTCTCTGGAGACTGGAGACACGGTGGCATTCACGCCGATCTTTGAGACTGCATCAAAATAGGCCTTTCCAGCGAGAGTCATGGCTGCGTGGGGAGACAGAGAAAAGTTTCTGGATCATTTTGTGTTCTGGCGAAACTTCCAAAACAAACTCTTCGATTGGTGGCGATACTGTTGACATTGAGGTACTCCGAGGCCAAATTCAAAGTTCACATTAAGACCTTTAGATCAGTACGTCCTGTTGTGAGTGTGTAAGCTGTTTACCTGTGACTGATTTCTCATAGTTCTTCCCGAGGTTGACCAGGTTCCTCAGGCCCGGGTTGAACTGATCCATCATAATCTGGGACAAAGAGCAGAGATTAACGGTTGATAAAATGATACACTTTCACACATTTTTGTAACCTACTTTCTCTTTTGCTTACGCACAAACACCCTAAATAAAAAAAAAAAAGGGGATTGCCAAGAATAATAAAATTCATGAGGCTATTTTTGTGGGAGTGGGTGGGGAGAAGAGAAATTCATGAAAAGAAGTGCAAGTGTTTGTGCTTTTGCTCTATAAATACCACCATGTGAGAACAATAAAACTTTCAATCTTTAACTTGACCCCTCACGTATGCTTTACCACTCCCTCAAAAGAGCGAAGTCCCACACAAAGTTGCAGCTATTTGCAGCGTTGAACCTCATCACTCTAACCACCCACCAACAGCCCCCCCCCTCTCTCTCTCGCTCTCTCCCTCCCTCTCGCCCCCCCCTCTCTCTCTCTCCCTCCCTCCCTCTCTCTCTCTATTGAAATGCCTCAACAGTCAAGTGCTGTTCACCTCCCTGTCTCTATTCCCCAGGCACGCCCTCAATAGAACAATGAAGGGGCAGGTATGACTTAACATGAAGGAAAGAACAGAGCAGAGGAAAGAAATAAAGGGAAACAGGTTCCGTGTTTTCTTTTTCTCTCCCTCCCTCCCTCCCAGCTGAAACTGTGGCACACTGTAAACTACAGGTATGACTCTCTCTCCCTCTGTCACACAGACACACACACACACACACACACACACAGTGGGTATTGCTTAACCAAGGAGGACATTCCACTGAAAAAAAGAAAATAAACCCTTATTTCTACTATATGTATGCAAACTTAAACCCATCCCGAATCATAAAACAACCTTTCAAACTCCACCTGCTTATCACATGTAAGACGCAGCAGTGTAAACTTGATTAGATCATCCTGATCTGACTGAACGAGATTAACGCCATGATCAACTGACTATTGATTAGATCATTTTATGTCCATTGATAA